CTTTCTTATCCGTAATAAGGGCATGTACACTCTTCACGGAATGCCACCGATAGCTCGGTAATCAGCATACCATAGATTCACTGTTATTGCTAACGCCATGGGCCCTCCAAGGCGTTGTCGTCTTCAAGAGCCACAAATTTGAACACTGGCTGCTTTCTATAGAGGCATGTGAAGAGTAATCCATCGCAAAATGTTGTACTCATACCTTCGAAAAGCCTTTTTTGCAGGTATTTGATCACGGCATGTTCTTCAAGCTTGTTCTTTCCCCCACAGCAAACAAATGCAACCCTTTATGAAAGCCATTACGGAAAAATATAACATTATTGATTCAAAAACACATTTTTACAACGTAAAGTAACAATCACAAAAGCTAAACTTACAGGGTCTTCCTGAAACAGAAAAAATATGCTAACAACAGCTTTGTAGTTGTGATGAAAATTAGAATGAAGATTAGAATGAAGATTAGAATGAAGATTAGAATGATGTAGCAGTAATCTTGAAAATACTATTTGGAAACAGCAGCATCTCAGTTAGGACACTGCGTGTTAGCTGGTTGTAGAAGAAAACCCCATGCAGACTTCAGATATATACCAGTTTGGTGAAACCCATCTAAACTTCTAATGAAAGCAAACCTTGAAAAATATTAAGTCTGAATCTGGGCGCAGATCCCACGATCGTAAGACAGGTTGGCGCTTCTAAGAGACGCAATTCCACATTAACACTTTGTGTGCTCTAGATAACTGTGTCATCCTTGTTTGGGCATACCTATATTTATGACGCTATTAACCGTCTTATATTAAGCTGTGTAACTGTGATCACATTGCCGACATATGTCCAGCTTAGCCCAGTCTGAGGTAAGAGCCTTGGGAGAAAGTATGAGGCATCAAAATACGATCCATATGTCTGAAGGCTTAACATGCTGACAACCTGTCACCTCGTGTTCCCAATAATGAGATGTGATGACCGGTAGGTCTTGTGCAGTTCCTGTTCTGTAAATCTGTGGACAGTCTTAATAAGGACATAGGGAAATGGTGGACAGATTACATGTAAAATGATATCAGGAAAGGTTCATCTGCATAAAGCATGCATTGTCATTACATGTATTGTCCCTTCTTGTATTTTGTCGCATTATCTGTTCTGGTATACACTAAGCCTCTTGCATCCACTCTCGGTCAATAAATGTGATAAGACGAATACATTTTAGAGGGCATATCTAAAAGAAACGTGTCGTGTCGATGCACACATTACCAGTATTGTAGATGTCAATGCATGTCAAATTATATCTAAGGCTTCAGTAATATTGGTTGCCTGAACCTCGATGTAACCTTGTATGTGCGCAGTTTATTTACTCTGATAGACTCTCAAAGATGCAGGAGTACTAAATCTAAGAGCACTGGAGGAATTGGTTTGTCAACCACGTGCCAGTAACAACCGGGTTAATAGTGAGTATGTCGTGTTTAACGTCACTGTAAACCATGTTCCAGTTACTTCATAGCATGTCAGCTTAATGTAGAAAGAAAGCCCAAAGTGATACAGTTCTTGCACTTTTATAAACCATTTTGGTGAAATAGAAGCACGTGTACTGTGCCAGCACACCTAGACATAATCAGGAAGAACCTGGATTTGAACCGACTATCAAAGGTTTCTCTAGCGGTGCTTAATGCGGTTTATGCAGTCCGTGGTCATAGCCCAAACCATAGAGAAAATATGTACAAAATGCTGAACTCATGTAATTAGACCCATGTAACTTGTCATTGAAATGATCAGAAAACATTTCTTAAAATACTGTAATGTAACAACAGGAAAACATGAGACTATCTTCATTCTCAGCAACCTCAAACTGCAATAATCTCGAACAGCCAAAATAAATATGATAGCTTTGAGTGAGATCGACTGAATTACTTCATGGTCTGCTTCGCAGACTACTATAGGTGATGTGTTCAGCATCTAAGGTAGAAATGCACTATGTGTTCGGTATTTGCTATTGAGCGTTTAATAGCCATTTCTATTCAGTCACTTTAGCTTATTGGGGCCTTCGTTTTCATCATGAAGTATAAGTCTGGCTAAAAACAACTCCAGCTATTTCCCAATCCCGATCTACGTCACCATAAATATACATTGCCTAAGAAAGTATCGGATAATAGGAATCATCATGGGAGGCTTCTGTTCTATATGGTACTGGCAAGTGGGATGAATAAATTATCTGCCGGCGAGGAGACAACTAGATCGAAGGGGTCTTAATGGTTTACATGATGGGATGGTGACGCACCAGGCTGTTAAAGCAGTCAACGATCCATATCAGAACTTTCAGATTCCAGCTAACGTCACTGATTCCGGGTACAATCACCTCTGTCGGACAGACACGATGGAATTTGTCGAGACATACATCTTGACTTATGTTGTTCCACTCATCTGTGACAACAGCACTGAGTTCAATGAGGTGGTGGTGGGTTTTGACGTTTACGTACCAGGCGTGTTAATAGGGGAAAGGACAGAACAATGAGCTGGCCATGGCATATCATGAGCTACAAATCCGGCACGATAGCAACGTACATTATGATCTTAAAAGATATAACTTTGCCCAGCACGCTAGACAAATTGTATTTACCTAAACTGTATTTACTCTGCCGTGGACAATAATAATAATATAATAATGGCCAATTATATAGCGCCTGTTTCCACACACTTATTATTACCTTGGATGACCCAAACGGACTGTGAAGCGCTGGAAGGTTATAGTCGCATGACTTATTCCACCAGGTACCAATTTTCAGATGGGTGAGCAGAGGCAAGTTGAACAAACACACTTGCCTTAGGTGAGACCACATGTATGACACGTGCTTCGTTGTGGGACAGGACTGAAGTCCTAGAAACTCTCAGGAGGCAAGCTGCCAAACACGGTCACCCGTCCAAGGACTCACCGAGCCACTTCAACTTCAACTGATTTTTTACCTGAGCTCTGTGCACACGACCACACACCACCGATTCGGCACAGTTCGGCTAGTCATTGTCACACCACACCACACAGGACCACACACCACCAATATGGCGCACAGTTCGGCTAGTCATTGTCACACCACGCCACACCACACAGGACGACACACACCACCAATATGGCACACAGTTCGGCTAGTCATTGTCACACCACACCACACACCACCAATATAGCGCACAGTTCGGCTAGTCATTGTCACATCACACCACACAGGACCACACACCACCCAGTCGGCACAGTTCGGCTAGTCATTGTCACACCACACCACACAGGATCACACACCACCAATATAGCGCACAGTTCGGCTAGTCATTGTCACATCACACCACACAGGACCACACACCACCCAGTCGGCACAGTTCGGCTAGTCATTGTCACACCACACAGGACCACACACCACCAATATGGCGCACAGTTCGGCTAGTCATTGTCACACCACGCCACACCACACAGGACGACACACCACCAATATGGCACACAGTTCGGCTAGTCATTGTCACACCACACCACACACCACCAATATAGCGCACAGTTCGGCTAGTCATTGTCACACCACACCACACAGGACCACACACCACCGATATGGCGCACAGTTCGGCTAGTAATTGTCACACGTCATTCCAATATCGAGCAACAACCAACACGATCGTGTTGCACAACGTTTCTATCAATGAAACGCTTATTACGACGTCTTCAAACTCGATTCCTTCTGCCACGGAAGTCGGGAGCGGGAGTGAACCTCGATTTGTCCATAAACATTACGTCGATTATCTCAGTGCTGACGTTGCCTACACAACGTACGATTCTGATTCAAATGGCCATCAATTCGGCATGACGCGTGGACGTCATGCACGCAAGTGCCATATCTACAGATGAATTATCACCGTCTTGTCACGCATCCTTACTCCAGTAATATATTGGAGCCTGAGGGGCAGTTCGCAACTGCTTTCCTAATGTCATTGTTTGACCACTCTGTTCCGGGCTGGAGTTGTTGCCCCTGGGCGTGAAAATCGGCATCAAAGAACGACGTAATGTGTTTACTGATATTAGGACCAGGATCTGATGGCAGATTGAGAAACATGCAGAATTTGTGCAACAATATTCTGACCAGTTGCCACATGCCAAATGCATATGACAAGTAAACGTTCACCACTTTCCAAACGTCGCATGATCCATTCTCCGTTGATGATTAAATATGTTCAATAAAGTGTATAATTATGACAATATAAGTTGTTCACTGGTCACGAGGGGGACATGGGGTGATGTACCCTCAATGTTTGTTTATGTTTCCGAAGGGCTCGAAAGGCTCAGGGAACATAAACAAACATCGAGGGTACATCAACCCATGGACCCCGAGGGACGTATTTATCTTACCGAACACCTGAATGTTATTTTTTAACTGTTTGAAGCACGGGTACCGTATCATAGTATGGAGTACCAGACGACAGGAAAAACAAATTTAGAGTTATCTCCCTTCCTTCGATTTGCATTCGCAAAACATCGGTAATTTCCGCACATCATACGTGATTCAATGTTATTCGAGATAAAGAATAACTACTACGAAATACCAAATGAGTTCGGCATTCCCAGCGGGGTATATAGACAATATTATTCGCTTGTAAGCTGGGTACATTGAAAATAAAATAGAAGAGCGCTCAGCCAATCAGAAAAGATATACTTCTGCTCACAATGAACTAGGAGTGAAAATGGTTAATCATTCGTATCTACATGTGCACGTGCTGTCCGACTTCTCGAACTTCATGACTGTCAGAATGTTCGGGGCTTAAATTTCTTTAGAAGTGTTCTTGCCATATACATCACTTACTTTCATTGCCAGGCCTGTGTGCATGTACCTTTAGTTCATCTCAATATATCCCCCACTTTTCTCATCGTATACACTGGTCGTTAGAACATATCCCCGTGTTTTATCAGAGCAAATAGCACCAGGAATACCATTTTACCCAAATGTCTACAATTACTGTTTATGGGAGGAAAGAACTTTCCAGTTGACGTGTTGCTCAAATGTCCACTATTAAATAACCACGCTATTACCCGATGGATGTTCCAGTAACAAGGTTTATGCTTACTTCACGTCCCCACTTAGCTACTCCCGCAAATACTTAGTAACAAATTTATGTTTTGATGCAACGACCTACTCCCGTTAACGCCTGTAAGTACTCTTTTCAGCTATGTAGCTAAATGGCCTATACAGCTTGTAGTATTTAGGCCATCAAAAGCGTACAGTTTCGTCCAAACTCCTTAACTCTTTCGTTTAACATTGCCAATCATATGCCGATAAAAGAAAAATGGTTACATGGGCGGAGTGAGTGAGGTTTTACACCGCTTGTAGCAATATTTCAGCAATATTACGACGGGGTACACGAGGAATGGGATTCACACATTGTAACCATGTGAAAACTCGAACCCGGGGTTCGTCGTGACGAGCGACGCTTAAACCACAAGTCTATCTCACCGACCCGCGTGAGTGAGTATTTGAGTAAGTTTAACGCAACTTTGAACTGTATTGCAGTTATTACACGTGACAGTCCAGCATGGAGGAATCCCCAGCGTGGTGCAGGTCATGGACGTCAATAGACGTTCAAGAAGAGTAGGTGAAACTGCTAGAACCAACACAGAATAGAAGGGCAATACACAGTATCGACAACAACCTATATTTTACTGTAAGAAACCTCCTGGGTCTTAATAGAATCCGTCTGAAACGCAAGCTGACACGGATCGAATTTCTCTGTGGCATATCAGTAAATGGATGCATCTACCACAGCAGGTTCTTTGGTAAATGAATTGGTGTCCTTAAATTGGTATCATTGGGGACTGGGGAAGATAAAGTGGTCTGTAGATGCTCTGTGTTGTGTCATTGTAAGCGGGAAAAAACTAGCAGTGATTATATCTAGTATGTCCTTAAACCCAAGTGACATGCGAAAACGTGACTTTGAATGCATTTGATTGTGTAAGCATTATTCGCGTGGGTCATTCTTTACATGGTTTAGCCAAATTTGAAAGTTTCTTTTCTCCAATGCCATTGATTATCTACTCTGTCACTATCAAAACAGGACATTGAATAATCAATTCCATTTCCTGAACAAATGGAGGAATGTGGTCTCTGCTGTAAAGTTGCACTGATGTACAGATACCAGTCTCCCACGACTAGATGATAAATGCATGGCACAACTGATGACATGCAGGACCGTCTGGTCATGATCCAACGCGGGGCGGTGGGGTAGCCTAGTGGTTAAAGCGTTGGCTCGTCACGCCGAAGACCCGGGTTCGAATCCCCACATGGGTACATTGTGTGAAGCCAATTTGTGGTGTCCCCCGCCGTGATGTTGCTGGAATATTGCTAAAAGCGGCGTAAAACCAAACTCAGTCGGTCAATCAGTCATGATCCAACGCAAGCTTTGGCTCTAGGTACAATATTAATGCGATTGTACTGATTGTGAAGTAATGTATATGAAGTTGTTTTGTCACTGATTGGAGAATTTATTGCTATTTTGACGTAATTGAATTTTGGGTTTACCATACAATATCTGAATCTATAGCTCAAACCTTGTTGATACAATTATATTTTAAGATACTGAAGGCAAAAATGAAACACTTCAAATACATAAGATCGTCAGTGAAGGTATTTAGCCTCCATCGTTGTTGTCTTATTTTCTTTTTTTGTTCTTACATGTACACGATATATATATATATGCTCTCTGCCTCATACCATTTATTCACCTGATGAAGGAGTAAGGATCCGAAACGTTCTTTTCCTCATAATAAAGAAGCTGACATCCACAAAACTCTCTTCTCTATGTGTATCATTTCTGAATGCCATTCAAAGAACTAGTGAAGATATGGTTCTGATGATACGTTTTCAAGACGTAGTGTTGTGTGTTTTTAGGATAACAACGCACGAGCACACATGGCTCGTACTGTTACTGTGTAGCTCCAACAGCAGAACATAACCACCTTACCATGGCCAACACACAGTCCACATTTGTTACCCATCACCCCCGTCTGTCATATCCTTGGACTGCTTTGGAGGCCATTAACAACAGGCGACTACTCTCAACTTATTTGGCGATGCCCTGCAGGAAGAGTGGGTTGGAATGAGCCAAGTTGACATTGGACGTTTGATTTTAGGTATGCCGGGATTGCCTTGAGAATAGAGAAGGGTCCATGCTATATTAATGGGTTTGGTTTTTACATGGTAAATGATAGGGCTGTAACGATACATCGAACTATCGATGGATTGCAATTGTTTAGTCTCCGATAGCAATTAATCAATGGTAGAAACTAATTGACTTCCTATGATAAATGCCCAGCACAAAATGCAGGAAGTATCATATTCGTTCACTTTGATTTAGAGTTATCCGCCCCTGTTACCTCTTCAACAAACTTGATCTGGGTTTCAAGTTTCTTGTCAGTTATTAAAAGAGACTGAAACTACTTCAACTTTTGTTTTGTTTCATATAAACCGTACATTCATTTGGGAAATGACTTCAAATAAGACAGCCATTTCAAGGAGAAAAAGACTATTTGCAATAGCGTTTTTTAATAGCTGGTCGCAATAGCAATAGTTGTTTTCCCTTCAATAGTCATCCCTAATAACTGAAGTAATGGTGTATTGGCCAATTATCTAACAAAATCTGTGACAAAATAATATTCTACGACTTCAATTTAGGTGGACAATTTGTAGAGATGGTTTTGTTGTAAATGGTGTTATTTTTATGTTTTGGTTCATTTTGAGGCAACAAAGCCATAGTTAAATAACAATAGATACCTTTTTAATTTTAGGAATGTATTTCAGTTTCCCTTGTTAATCCAGATGAATTAAATGCATTTTGACTGACTGAATGTGTCTACGTGGATCATTCGTCATTGCTTCAATCTAACTGTCACATGACCCAGATTGAGTTCTCATGAAAAGACACTATATACACTTCTCCAAGTGAAATGTCTTCTAATGAAACTCAAACTACATTTATAACTCCTTTCATTACTGAAATACATGTTTAACTCATTACAATGTACGTTCCACAGTACATAGAGATCCCTCGTTAATGGGTAAAAGTAAGGTGATGGTATGTAACAAGTGTTATTAACTATTTGTAGGTTAAAGGTCACATGTAACGTAAAACACAACTTTGCAGATTCTGATACCTTTCGGTATGGACTTACCGAAACAAATCGTCAAAAAATGCAAATTCAACTTATAAAGTTGAAAAATAACGCGATGGAAAAAACGCGCGAAATCGGAGTTTAAACGTTTCACTAATTTTCCCCCGACTTTTCTGGGGAAAACGGGTTTCAACAGCTGGGCTGCGCTTATAGCACGTGCGCAGTGAAGTAGGTTCGCGCAACTTGGAAGCGGTTGTCCGGTGAATACCCGGTGAAGGCTTTGGTGTGAGCTATTTTTCTAATGTTTTGTTGATATCTCACAGGCGCGAGCTTTTTATGTTATGACAGTAAATTAACTGTTTATATAATTTCATTTGTCTATTTCACCGAGTCACTTTCTCAGTTCGATACTTAAAAGCAATGTCATTATTTAGCGTTGACAGAATTTCCAACTGTGATATAGATATGTCGTTGTCACAGACTAAACTCAATGTCTTGTTTTATTGACACCTGTGTGTCTGCCTGCCTGTCTGCTAATGACAATATTCAATACACAGCTGCTATCACTGACCACATGCAATTTGAACCAATCAGGCTATACACCATAGGCAGGTGTGATACTTGAACACATGACATGTTATGATGTCTGTTGATTGCAAAATGTTATACACAAAAAATGAGCATGTATTTACAAAACCCAACATCTCTATATATACACACAATGACCCGTGAGGGCATCTGCAAATGAACCAGCCGTTACACTTGAGTGCACACCCACCCGCTCTGACTGGGTTCGGTATCCCGGCTGCTTCGTTTCTTGGGAAGTAAACCAAAGTACACAATATTGCACTTTTGATTTGTGATTGTACGCTTATAATTTTGTTTATATGTTTTTTCATAACCAGCAATGTATATTATATGCCATGAATAAGTGATAATTGTGTTTTAATTATCTTTGATTTTTTGGTTGCATGTGACCTTTAAAGTAGATAATAATACTCAACCATGAGTGAGTGAGTATGGTTTTACGCCGCTTTTAGCAATATTCCAGCAATGTCACGGTGGGGGACACCAGAAATGGGTTCAACCATGAAGTAATTCAGTGTTGGTTGATGTTTTTATCCAACGTAGATATAGAACGGGGACAATACAACATTTTACAATGTACTTGATAAAGCAATGTCATACATAAATAGGAAATACATACGTATGACATAATCTCTGTGTTGAACATACCAGACAAATCACACACACCACCCTTCTCATCTGACATGGAAAATGTTTCCTCCTTATCTCGAATATCTCGACTTACGCTCGATGTATGAAGTTGGTTCCAACTGTCCCTCTCTGTGATAATGCTAGGTCTGTCAAACAAGGCGTAAAAGTCGATTCATTAAATGTACACCATTGAAGCCCGCTGTAATAAGAGCAGAATATGTATACCAAATGGACATATTGCCCTGCCGCTTCAATGACTCTTGGCCATTTGTGACTGATCTCGGAGTTAAAGATTTCAGTTACATGATTGGATCACACTTCTTGTTTGTTTATGTGTTATTCAAGCTATATGGCGGCGGTAGGTAATTAATCGAGTCTGGGCCAAACAATCCAGTGATCATGAGCATCAGAGCATCATCAGCGTCAGAGATGTGAGGAACACACGAAATAAAATGGACAAATGAGTGTTCACAAGTTTAACAACAATATAGTGTAAGAGATATTACGAGTCTCCATTCAGAGTAGTAGGACCTGGTTCAGATTAAGCTACCACAGGTTAGATTTGAAGATTAAATGGCCTGATGAGGAGCATACCAGACCAGCTGGTAATCAGCTTTACATTGTGACCGATTCCATGGCCAAGTGAATGAAGCGTCTGCCGTGAGAATTGAAGATGGGTCGTTCAGTTCCCCCAATACCAAGAGATGTTAATAATGGTGCTTGTTACTAAACCTCCCTTTCGCTATTAATGAGATTAATAACGAATAGTCGACTCAGGGTGGATGTATTGAGTTAGGTATTCATACTAACCGGAGCATGGTATTTCAGTTGGTGAGTATTACGGTGTCATGATTAGTCAGTTTAAATACACGCTGAGGCTTTCGCACCATACACACACGTGCGTACGCTATATATGTGCAAACATTTTCAGTGTGACGTTAACCCCCAAAACATCTCACCATGACTTATTTTCATCCAATGACTCTTGGTAATGCGAGTAAAGGATTTTATGACTGCTTCCATTAATCTGTTTGATTGGCATTTAGAAGTTGGTGACTAATAAGAAAGTAAGATTGTTTATGGATAACAACTTCTTTTATTATATATGATGCAACGTTTCGGTATGGATTCTTATACCGCTGTCAAGCAAGAGTGAAGTACTACGGCACAGAACAGACGTATATACATGAACAGGGATAAAGTAATAACAACATGTAGGTATGAATCAAGGGGATTAAAAACAACAAGGCACGGTGGAAATAATATAGTGACAATAGGAGGAAGCCAATGGTCCTAGAGGCAGAAACAAAAATATACATGGCTGATGAGATTAATTAGCAATGATAACTGGAGTGCTCTAATCTGTTGTTTTTATCAGTTCATTGTATGCAGAAGGGATGAGATATCCCTGGTCTCTGTTGATTGAGGGCTTGTGTTTCCGGATTTGAACTGCTTCTGCAAGTTTTCTTTTGGTGAAGTCCTGGTGGTTTTTCGATAATATCTCTACATTGTCCCAAATTATGTTGTGATTGGGACAGTTGATGATGTGGTCTGATAGTGCTGATTTTCTGTCAGATTTAGTGGTAGATGATAAGTGTTCTTTGATTCTGATATTTATGGGCAGGGAGGTTTCGCCTACATAGGCCTCGCCACAGTCACAATTCATTTGTAGACAACACCTTCAGGTGTTCCTGCCTTTAGCTTTCAGTAAGGTTTTCAGTGGTGTAGAGCTGGTAAAGTAGGTTTCGATGCCTGCTTGTCGCTTCAGGAGACGGCTGATGTGGTGGGAGGTCTTCCCTATGAAGGGGAGGGAGATACGAATAGGTGCTGGTTCAGGTTTGTTGGAGGCCGGTTTTCTTGTTGGGTGGAGTGAGGAGCTGATAATTTCATCGACTAGCTTTGACGGGTAGTGGTTGAACTTGGTGAAAACATGGCGGAGGTGCTGTATTCCTGTAATGGGACTGGTGGAGGAGAGGTTGATGGCTCGTCTGGTGAGAGTGGAGATAATGCCAGTTTTGGTTCTCAAGGGGTGGTTGGAGTCAAAATGAATGTATTGGTCGGAGTGGGTTGGCTTTCTATAGACACTGGTTTGGATCTTGTTAGCTGGGGTTCTGGTTACGAGGACATCTAGAAAGGGAAGTTGACCATTGGACTCTGTTTCTACGGTGAACTGGACTCGGGGGTGCTGTTGGTTGAGGTGTTGCAGGAGGGCTGCTGGGTCTTGGTCTTGACGAAGAATGACAAACGTGTCATTGACCTTCCTGTACCAGCAAGTTGTTTGATGGTTGAGGTGCTAAGTGCTTACTGCTCGAAGGGGGTTATGTAGATTTCTGTGAGTATTGGGGACAGAGGGGAGCCTATGGGCAGGCCGTGGATTTGTTCATAGTAGTCGTCTCCCCAGGTAATGTAAGTGGAGGTGATGCAAGCAGAGGTCAGGGCAATGATGGAGTCAGTGGTGAGGTTGGTGTCAAGGGGGGTTTCTAATTCAGAGAGGCGTCGGCGGAGGATTTGGAGAGTTTCATCTATGGGGACACTTGTGAAGAGGTCCAAAACATCGTAACTCAGGATCTGGTCTGCTTCGGTTATTTTCAGGAGTTTGGTACAGAAATCCGTGGAGTCAGAGATGAAGGAGTCCGCTGTTTGGGCAAGGATTTCCGTTAGGTGTTGGGCGGTGCTGTAGGACATAGCTAATTAATCTCATCAGCCATGTATATTTTGTTTCTGCCTCTAGGACCATTGGCTTCCTCCTATTGTCACTACATTATTTCCACCGTGCCTTGTTGTTGTTTTTAATCCCCTTGATTCATACCTACATGTTGTTATTACTTAATCCCTGTTCATGTATATAAGTCTGTTCTGTGCCGTAGTACTTCACTCTTGCTTGACAGCGGTATAAGAATCCATACCGAAACGTCGCATCATATATAATAAAAGAAGTTGTTATTCATAAACAATCTTACTTTCTCATGCTTCTATTAATATTGACACTACTCCGTCGACGTTTATCTTTAATCATTAACAAACATCAGTTGAAATCTTTACAAATTATCTGGATGTTCCATGTATGTGTTCTATTTATACTTTACAGACATTCCCAACGAAGAGGGCAGTGTCTTTCCGATTATCTTAGCAATACATTTTCTGTATGTCATTGAATGTCGAGTACCTGTTTTCATGACCCGAGATGATCCGGATTTAGAATTCGTCTTCAGCAGCGAATGCTTGTCGTAAGAGGTGACTGACGAGATCGGGTGGTCAGGCACGGCAACTTGGTTGACATTTGTTATTGTATCCCAGGCTGCGTAAATCGTTGCTTATGCTGTGGATCACTGGATTGTCTGGTCCAGACAAATAGCTGGAATATTGCTGAGTTCTGGTACAGGTCTGGTCGTCGTAAGACGGTTGTAATATTGTTGACTGCGCCGTTCAATAAAATCACTCATCATCGTGGTAAATAGTATTCATATTGCAGAATACGGCAGATTGATTAAAGTTTGAAGACAACAAAATATTTCTGACATTAAAAAACAAACAAACAAAACCTGCCTCCACAATCAAATTTCATTGTCTCCGAAATTCGAACCAAATATAAAGGCTTCCTGGACGGAACTCTGTACTCGACCCAAAGTGCAGTGATCATGTACATGATGTCAGGGAAATGTCATCCCTTTCATCACCAACACATGTCAAGTAACGACATCTGCTGCGTATTACATCGTCGTCATTTCTGTAACTGAAACAGGTGCTGGCCAGTAGGACCCTGACTCATCCATATGCATGCTGAGCTGTAGAGACACACACCTGATCATGTAGTACACCATGTTATCGTACACACTGCTTATGTGACGTGCTACTGTGACCAACGATGTGAAACTCACAGGACCGTACCCTCACTGTCGAGTTTCACTGAATGGTGAACCGTCCTCTACGATCTGTAACCAACGATAAGGTAAAGCGTTCTGAACCTGACATACATTGTATCGTTATTCAATAAGAAATGGTCTGTTGTGACACATTTTTAGATAATAGTGTCCTCGCTATATGGGTCACGCCAATAATAAATATTGTACTGTTTGCTGTTGTTTAACGCTGCACTCAGCAATATTCTCTATGTCGGCGGTCTGTAAATAATAGAGTCCGGACCAGACAATGCAGTGATCAACAACATGAGCCTCGATCTACGCCATTGGGATACGATTACCGTTTTGGGTGAGTTTTGTTTTACGCCGCACTCAATATTCCAGCTATATGTCGGTGGATACGATTACATGTGTCAACCAAGTCAGAGAGACTGATCACCGATCCCTTCAGTCGCCATATTGGAACATAGCATCATACTCTGTTTATACAATGTCAGAACAGTTATTTCCCGAACCCTATTCTTATCTGATCAGAATATATCTGAACCAAGTATTTTTCAATGTATTCATTGGTACCGATACATTATTATATTGGCAGCAGGTGTTCGTGGCGTCAATTCTACATTGCATACACGACATTCATATAAATATGCCTTGTGCAGTTTATTATAATCAATATTGCTCATTAATATTGATAGTCCTGTGTCTCATGTTACCACTCGCAGTCACACAAAGCATCAGCGTCAGTATAAGTCAGTATTGCTGATAGACCAGTCACAGCTACATGGAATGGGGTTGTCATGTTCGGTGTTTCTGAATGGTACCATGAAGGGGCTTGATCCATCCTTTTGAAAATAACTTCTAACACCATGTAATCAATATTGATAAATTCCTACTTAGAGAAAATATATTTGTATTACTGAAATACATGTACATATCTATGTTCAAAATTTGATCACCTTGACTGCTATGTGAGACTTAACATTTGGCGTACCTCCCTGCTTGTCTTATCTCCCTGTTCTAATTGGAATACTCTTCAAAATGACCAAACATGTAGATAAGGTTTACTGCCCTACCTGTCAATATTGCTGCATTAAATTTCGTCCCATTCATATTTTATTGACCCTGGATGTGGCACTGAGACAACAGATAAAACTACGACATTTCATGCTATATTAATATTGTTAATCCAGATGAATTAAATGCATTTTGACTGACTGAATGTGTCTACGTGGATCATTCGTCATTGCTTCAATCTAACTGTCACATGACCCAGATTGAGTTCTCATGAAAAGACACTATATACACTTCTCCAAGTGAAATGTCTTCTAATGAAACTCAAACTACATTTATAACTCCTTTCATTACTGAAATACATGTTTAACTCATTACAATGTACGTTCCACAGTACATAGAGATCCCTCGTTAATGGGTAAAAGTAAGGTGATGGTATGTAACAAGTGTTATTAACTATTTGTAGGTTAAAGGTCACATGTAACGTAAAACACAACTTTGCAGATTCTGATACCTTTCGGTATGGACTTACCGAAACAAATCGTCAAAAATGCAAATTCAACTTATAAAGTTGAAAAATAACGCGATGGAAAAAACGCGCGAAATCGGAGTTTAAACGTTTCACTAATTTTCCCCGACTTTTCTGGGAAAACGGGTTTCAACAGCTGGGCTGCGCTTATAGCACGTGCGCAGTGAAGTAGGTTCGCGCAACTTGGAAGCGGTTGTCCGGTGAATACCCGGTGAAGGCTTTGGTGTGAGCTATTTTTCTAATGTTTTGTTGATATCTCACAGGCGCGAGCTTTTTATATGTTATGACAGTAAATTAACTGTTTATATAATTTCATTTGTCTATTTCACCGAGTCACTTTCTCAGTTCGATACTTAAAAGCAATGTCATTATTTAGCGTTGACAGAATTTCCAACTGTGATATAGATATGTCGTTGTCACAGACTAAACTCAATGTCTTGTTTTATTGACACCTGTGTGTCTGCCTGCCTGTCTGCTAATGACAATATTCAATACACAGCTGCTATCACTGACCACATGCAATTTGAACCAATCAGGCTATACACCATAGGCAGGTGTGATACTTGAACACATGACATGTTATGATGTCTGTTGATTGCAAAATGTTATACACAAAAAATGAGCATGTATTTACAAAACCCAACATCTCTATATATACACACAATGACCCGTGAGGGCATCTGCAAATGAACCAGCCGTTACACTTGAGTGCACACCCACCCGCTCTGACTGGGTTCGGTATCCCGGCTGCTTCGTTTCTTGGGAAGTAAACCAAAGTACACAATATTGCACTTTTGATTTGTGATTGTACGCTTATAATTTTGTTTATATGTTTTTTCATAACCAGCAATGTATATTATATGCCATGAATAAGTGATAATTGTGTTTTAATTATCTTTGATTTTTGGTTGCATGTGACCTTTAAAGTAGATAATAATACTCAACCATGAGTGAGTGAGTATGGTTTTACGCCGCTTTTAGCAATATTCCAGCAATGTCACGGTGGGGACACCAGAAATGGGTTCAACCATGAAGTAATTCAGTGTTGGTTGATGTTTTATCCAACGTAGATATAGAACGGGGACAATACAACATTTTACAATGTACTTGATAAAGCAATGTCATACATAAATAGGAAATACATACGTATGACATAATCTCTGTGTTGAACATACCAGACAAATCCACACACACCACCTTCTCATCTGACATGGAAAATGTTTCCTCCTTATCTCGAATATCTCGACTTACGCTCGATGTATGAAGTTGGTTCCAACTGTCCCTCTCTGTGATAATGCTAGGTCTGTCAAACAAGGCGTAAAAGTCGATTCATTAAATGTACACCATTGAAGCCCGCTGTAATAAGAGCAGAATATGTATACCAAATGGACATATTGCCCTGCCGCTTCAATGACTCTTGGCCATTTGTGACTGATCTCGGAGTTAAAGATTTCAGTTACATGATTGGATCACACTTCTTGTTTGTTTATGTGTTATTCAAGCTATATGGCGGCGGTAGGTAATTAATCGAGTCTGGGCCAAACAATCCAGTGATCATGAGCATCAGAGCATCATCAGCGTCAGAGATGTGAGGAACACACGAAATAAAATGGACAAATGAGTGTTCACAAGTTTAACAACAATATAGTGTAAGAGATATTACGAGTCTCCATTCAGAGTAGTAGGACCTGGTTCAGATTAAGCTACCACAGGTTAGATTTGAAGATTAAATGGCCTGATGAGGAGCATACCAGACCAGCTGGTAATCAGCTTTACATTGTGACCGATTCCATGGCCAAGTGAATGAAGCGTCTGCCGTGAGAATTGAAGATGGGTCGTTCAGTTCCCCCAATACCAAGAGATGTTAATAATGGTGCTTGTTACTAACCTCCCTTTCGCTATTAATGAGATTAATAACGAATAGTCGACTCAGGGTGGATGTATTGAGTTAGGTATTCATACTAACCGGAGCATGGTATTTCAGTTGGTGAGTATTACGGTGTCATGATTAGTCAGTTTAAATACACGCTGAGGCTTTCGCACCATACACACACGTGCGTACGCTATATATGTGCAAACATTTTCAGTGTGACGTTAACCCCCAAAACATCTCACCATGACTTATTTTCATCCAATGACTCTTGGTAATGCGAGTAAAGGATTTTATGACTGCTTCCATTAATCTGTTTGATTGGCATTTAGAAGTTGGTGACTAATAAGAAAGTAAGATTGTTTATGGATAACAACTTCTTTTATTATATATGATGCAACGTTTCGGTATGGATTCTTATACCGCTGTCAAGCAAGAGTGAAGTACTACGGCACAGAACAGACGTATATACATGAACAGGGATAAAGTAATAACAACATGTAGGTATGAATCAAGGGGATTAAAAACAACAAGGCACGGTGGAAATAATATAGTGACAATAGGAGGAAGCCAATGGTCCTAGAGGCAGAAACAAAAATATACATGGCTGATGAGATTAATTAGCAATGATAACTGGAGTGCTCTAATCTGTTGTTTTTATCAGTTCATTGTATGCAGAAGGGATGAGATATCCCTGGTCTCTGTTGATTGAGGGCTTGTGTTTCCGGATTTGAACTGCTTCTGCAAGTTTTCTTTTAATTGAAGTCCTGGTGGTTTTCGATAATATCTCTACATTGTTCAGTTGATGATAATGGTCTGATAGTGCTGATTTTCTGTCAGAATGATAAGTGTTCTTTGATTCTGATATTTATGGGCTTTCGCCTACATAGGCCTCGCCACAGTCACAATTCATTTGTAGACAACACCTTCAGTGTTCCTGCCTTTAACTTTCAAAGTGGTGTAGAGCTGGTAAAGTAGGATGCCTGCTTGTCGCTTCAGGAGACGGCTGATGTGGTGGGGAGGTCTTCCCTATGAAGGGGAGGAGATACGAATAGGTGCTGGTTCAAGGCCGGTTTCTTGTTGGGTGGAGTGAGGAGCTGATAATTTCATCGACTAGCTTTGACGGGTAGTGGTTGAACTTGGTGAAAACATGGCGGAGGTGCTGTATTCCTGTAATGGGACTGGTGGAGGAGAGGTTGATGGCTCGTCTGGTCAAAAATGAATGTATTGGTCATAGACACTGGTTTGGATCTTGTTAGCTAGGACATCTAGAAAGGAAGTTGATTGGACTCTGTTTCTACGGTGAACTGGACTCGAGGGGTGCTGTTGGTTGATGTTGCAGGAGGGCTGCTGGGTCTTGGTCTTGACGAAGAATGACAAACGTGTCATTGACCTTCCTGTACCAACAAGTTGCTAAGTGCTTACTGCTCGAAGGGGGTTATGTAGATTTCTGAACAGGCCGTGGATTTGTTCATAGTAGTCGTCTCCCCAGATAAGTGGAGGTGATGCAAGCAGAGGTCAGGGCAATGATGGAGTCAGTGGTGAGGTTGGTGTCAAGGGGGGTTTCTAATTCAGAGAGGCGTCGGCGGAGGATTTGGAGAGTTTCATCTATGGGGACACTTGTGAAGAGGTCCAAAACATCGTAACTCAGGATCTGGTCTGCTTCGGTTATTTTCAGGAGTTTGGTACAGAAATCCGTGGAGTCAGAGATGAAGGAGTCCGCTGTTTGGGCAAGGATTTCCGTTAGGTGTTGGGCGGTGCTGTAGGACATAGCTAATTAATCTCATCAGCCATGTATATTTTGTTTCTGCCTCTAGGACCATTGGCTTCCTCCTATTGTCACTACATTATTTCCACCGTGCCTTGTTGTTGTTTTTAATCCCCTTGATTCATACCTACATGTTGTTATTACTTAATCCCTGTTCATGTATATAAGTCTGTTCTGTGCCGTAGTACTTCACTCTTGCTTGACAGCGGTATAAGAATCCATACCGAAACGTCGCATCATATATAATAAAAGAAGTTGTTATTCATAAACAATCTTACTTTCTCATGCTTCTATTAATATTGACACTACTCCGTCGACGTTTATCTTTAATCATTAACAAACATCAGTTGAAATCTTTACAAATTATCTGGATGTTCCATGTATGTGTTCTATTTATACTTTACAGACATTCCCAACGAAGAGGGCAGTGTCTTTCCGATTATCTTAGCAATACATTTTCTGTATGTCATTGAATGTCGAGTACCTGTTTTCATGACCCGAGATGATCCGGATTTAGAATTCGTCTTCAGCAGCGAATGCTTGTCGTAAGAGGTGACTGACGAGATCGGGTGGTCAGGCACGGCAACTTGGTTGACATTTGTTATTGTATCCCAGGCTGCGTAAATCGTTGCTTATGCTGTGGATCACTGGATTGTCTGGTCCAGACAAATAGCTGGAATATTGCTGAGTTCTGGTACAGGTCTGGTCGTCGTAAGACGGTTGTAATATTGTTGACTGCGCCGTTCAATAAAATCACTCATCATCGTGGTAAATAGTATTCATATTGCAGAATACGGCAGATTGATTAAAGTTTGAAGACAACAAAATATTTCTGACATTAAAAAACAAACAAACAAAACCTGCCTCCACAATCAAATTTCATTGTCTCCGAAATTCGAACCAAATATAAAGGCTTCCTGGACGGAACTCTGTACTCGACCCAAAGTGCAGTGATCATGTACATGATGTCAGGGAAATGTCATCCCTTTCATCACCAACACATGTCAAGTAACGACATCTGCTGCGTATTACATCGTCGTCATTTCTGTAACTGAAACAGGTGCTGGCCAGTAGGACCCTGACTCATCCATATGCATGCTGAGCTGTAGAGACACACACCTGATCATGTAGTACACCATGTTATCGTACACACTGCTTATGTGACGTGCTACTGTGACCAACGATGTGAAACTCACAGGACCGTACCCTCACTGTCGAGTTTCACTGAATGGTGAACCGTCCTCTACGATCTGTAACCAACGATAAGGTAAAGCGTTCTGAACCTGACATACATTGTATCGTTATTCAATAAGAAATGGTCTGTTGTGACACATTTTTAGATAATAGTGTCCTCGCTATATGGGTCACGCCAATAATAAATATTGTACTGTTTGCTGTTGTTTAACGCTGCACTCAGCAATATTCTAGCTATATGTCGGCGGTCTGTAAATAATAGAGTCCGGACCAGACAATGCAGTGATCAACAACATGAGCCTCGATCTACGCCATTGGGATACGATTACCGTTTTGGGTGAGTTTTGTTTTACGCCGCACTCAATATTCCAGCTATATGTCGGTGGATACGATTACATGTGTCAACCAAGTCAGAGAGACTGATCACCGATCCCTTCAGTCGCCATATTGGAACATAGCATCATACTCTGTTTATACAATGTCAGAACAGTTATTTCCCGAACCCTATTCTTATCTGATCAGAATATATCTGAACCAAGTATTTTTCAATGTATTCATTGGTACCGATACATTATTATATTGGCAGCAGGTGTTCGTGGCGTCAATTCTACATTGCATACACGACATTCATATAAATATGCCTTGTGCAGTTTATTATAATCAATATTGCTCATTAATATTGATAGTCCTGTGTCTCATGTTACCACTCGCAGTCACACAAAGCATCAGCGTCAGTATAAGTCAGTATTGCTGATAGACCAGTCACAGCTACATGGAATGGGGTTGTCATGTTCGGTGTTTCTGAATGGTACCATGAAGGGGCTTGATCCATCCTTTTGAAAATAACTTCTAACACCATGTAATCAATATTGATAAATTCCTACTTAGAGAAAATATATTTGTATTACTGAAATACATGTACATATCTATGTTCAAAATTTGATCACCTTGACTGCTATGTGAGACTTAACATTTGGCGTACCTCCCTGCTTGTCTTATCTCCCTGTTCTAATTGGAATACTCTTCAAAATGACCAAACATGTAGATAAGGTTTACTGCCCTACCTGTCAATATTGCTGCATTAAATTTCGTCCCATTCATATTTTATTGACCCTGGATGTGGCACTGAGACAACAGATAAAACTACGACATTTCATGCTATATTACAAAATCAAGTGTTCAAATGTCCAAACATGTTCTTGTTATCAGACGACTCGGTGACATGGTTATCAAAGCTCCCCGACAGTATATGAAGATGTTCGCAATATCAATCACTGGTCCAATCCAGTTCAGACATTTCATTACTGGGCGGGGCGGTGGGGTAGCCTATTTCTTAAAGCGTCCCCTCGTCACGCTGAAGACCCGGACCCGTGAAGGTCCTGGATAGAATACTGGCCTTCAGTAACCCATGCTTGTCGTAAGAGGCGCCTAACGGGTTCGGATGGTCAGACTCGCTGACTTGGTTGACACATGTCATCGGTTCCCATTTGCGCAGATCGATGCTCATGCTGTTGATCATTGGATTGTCTGGTCCAGCCTTGATTATTTACAGACCGTCGACATATAGCTGGAGCTTAAAACTATATATAGCTGCAGCGTAAAACTAAACTCACTCACTCACTAAAGACCCGGGTTCGATTCTCCTCATGGGTACAATGTGTGAAGTCCATTCTGGTGTCCCTCGCCGCGATATTGCTGGAATGTTGCTAAAAGCGGCGTAAATCTAAACTCACTCACTCATTACCGGGCATTGTCATAAGGCGAGACGGCGTTAAACCGAATACAAACAAAACACATTTACACACACACAGATGGTTAGGAATCAATTCGGTAACCCAGTAAATAATCGATATGCATATGCATAGTTCACTGTGCTTTGCGACAGCCGGGGCTCGCAGCATTAACGTTGATATCAGCTTACTATTGCCATATCTAGGTCGTGAAACACCTTACTGATACATGGATACACAATTTCAGGTAAGAGTTGTCGTATCTTACTGGTCATATATTGTTTATATTTTTGGCTAACTTGCTCAAATCAAACTACGTGCATTATTGCGTTCATTATGTACCTTCGTATGTAAACAGGGTCAGGAAGATTCTCAGGCATGCCGTGTTATCTGTTACTTTCTGATCTAAGCTGGTTGGTTTGTTGTTTAACGCTGCACTCAGCAATATTCCAGCTGTATGGAGGCGGTCCGTAAATAATCGGGTCTGAAACAGAACATCCAATGATCAACAGCATGAGCATCGATCTACGCAATTGGGATACGATGAAATGTGTCAACCTAGTCAGCAAGCCTGACCACCAGATCCCGTTAGTCGCCTTTTACGACAAGCATGGGTTACTAGAGACCAATTCTAACCCGAATCTTCATGTGTTTTTCACATTGGTGAGTGGGTGAACTAAACACTACACTGCCTACTCAAATGAGTGGGGGATACGCCGCAATCATACGCGTGGTTTGCATGACTGCATGTCATCGTGTCCCAGCTGCGTGAAGCGATGCTCATGATGTCAATCACTGATTTGTCATGACTCGATAATCTACAGGGTGCCGTCATATTGCTGGAACCTGGCGTTTAACAACATCTTATTTTAATCAGATATTCACGAATATAACACTAAAATACGATGTAGGTCAAAGCCTTCTCGAATCATGCAGATTTCATTAATTAGTGGGCTAGCACATGACTGCCTCATGATAATAGTATTTCGTTTAATTATGTCCCAATGCTTCAAAACTCTATGCGAATCCTCTCGCAAAATCACAGTACTCCGATAAATATGTTTCTATAGGGGGGTCTTTAACTCCATACTAATCCTCTAGCATATGAATTCGCCACAATAATTGCTTTAATAATTTAGTCAGAGAAAACTGAAGACACAATGGCGGATGGCTAACACAAATATTTGTCAGGGTTCTTTTTAACAAAACTATATAGAGTTGTCTCCCTTTATTGTTATTTGTTAAGTACTGTGCGTCCCGTTTTGTACTATGTACACACCTGCCTGTGAAGTATTCAAATTTGCCAAGTATGCCTGCAACTAGACTCTAATAAATTATTCAAATTGTTGACATTTCAAATCTGGGTACGCTTGCTAAATATTGAACTCTTGCTGAAGGTGTTCCCGGGAATTGTGTTACCAATAGCCTAACACACTTGCCATACATGAAATGTCTAATTATGTCAACATGACATGTGCGTTCGGTTTCAACACGCCACCTGAATCACCTGCATGAATGGATAATAAAGAACAGCTTTGCTGAATAGCTGAATCCCTGTTTACCGCCCTACTTTGTGGCATTCCCCATAGCCGCGGGCACGTTCACTGAAGCGGGAAGCGTGTCAATGATAGTGCACCGGATATATGAAAAGAAATACCCAAATTCGACTCTGTTAGCACACAGAAACTGCACGCGGGTAGCCAGCGTACCGGTAGATGGGGACAGATGTTGGGATAGTTTATCGTAACTGAAGGTAATGCATTGAAACTAGTTAGTCTTTTTCTTCATGTGTCGGATAACATTGAAAGCGGACATATATCCAGAAACCTTTAACATGAAGTATTGTGCTACGTGACAAAGATCAATGGCGATGGTATCCGACCGCCCATTTCGTCTGTTCTTGCAACACCTGTGCCTTGATTGGGACAGCGGTGTTTTCCTGTATAGAGAGATTGGGTTATGGTTGGGGCAGCTGTCTGATGCATTCCCGTACAATGTTTCTGATATGGCTCGGACAGTTACATGGTGCATGTTTCTTCTCACTTGTATTGAGGTTAGGGCACGCTTTACAATGCATTCCTGATAGAGTGTTTGTGTTTATGGTTTGGACTGTTACCTGATGCAGTTTACTTCTCACTTGTATTGTGGTTAGGACACGCTTTACAATGCATTCCTGATAGAGTGTTTGTGTTTATGGTTTGGACAGTTATCTGATGCATTTTACTTCTTACCTGTATTGAGGTTATGGCACACTTTACAATGCATTCCACCATACAGTGCTTTTGTTGTTTTGGACAGTTATCTGATGCATTTTACTTCTCACCTGTATCGGGGTTCGGTCACACTTTATAATACAGTGTTTTTGCTATGTTTTGCATGGTTACCTGATGCATTTTCTTCGAACCTGTATTGAGGTTAGAACACGCTTAACAGTGCATTCCTGCATACAGTGTTTGTGTAATGGTTTGGACAGTTACCTGATGTGTTTGTATTTGATGTTAGGGCACGCCATCATACAGGGGTTATATTATGGTTTGGTCAGTAATGGTGAGCATTGTCTCTCCCACTTGTAATGAGGTTAGGACAAACATAAAGTGCATTCCTCCATACCTTGCTTGTGTTATGGTTGAGCGCCTATTTTTATGCATTTCCTTATACAGTGATGTTGTTATGGTTTGGGCAGCCGTCTGAAACATTCATCCATATTCTACCGGACATTTTTGTTGGGCAGCTGTCTACAACATTCGTTCGTGTGTCTACTGGAAATCCGCGTAACTTCCTCCTTTGTGTATAAATTATATCTGTAAGATGTACACAAATACTTAAATGTTTGTAGGAAGTAATTTTCCTCAATATTGAGGATGGAGGTTGGAAATTGGTAGTGGTTGGATATGAACAATAACATCATGTAATAATTTATAAACAGTATTCATAAATATTGTCATGATTCTAATTCATAAACTCAAAGTCATGATTATGATAAGGTGTGAATCGTACAATTGACTGATTTCTTATAAATATACATGTGAAGTGGAAGGTTCAGCAGTCAGATCTGAACAGTCTGCTGTCTCTAGGGGCATACATTCAAACACGTATATTGTCACGACACGACATTGGGTAATTTCTCTATGTAAGTCTGTTGAGAATGAAGATTATGGACATAAATTTGTTTTTACATGTTTCCCTTGGAATGCCTTGTTTCGGGTTATTACGAAATTGAAACTTAAATTATCAATAAGGACGACACAATAAAGGTGTATTATAATTGCAAATGTGTTGCCGAGAAGGGCCGCAAGATTGTTCGTTTAGTGGAAGAAAATATGCACTCACTACACACTCACACCCACCCAACCAACCAACCACTCGCTCACTCACTCACTCACTCACTCACTCACTCACTCACTCACTCACTCACTCACTCACTCACTCACTCACTCACTCACTCACTCACTCACTCACTCACTCACTCACTCACTCACTCACTCACTCACTCACTCACTCACTCACTCACTCGAACACTTTATCAAATCACATAATTTTAACCGCACTACTTATGCCATGTCATGCAGGCTTATCACATGTGAACGATGGGTTGCTGTTCGTCGAAAGAAGTTAAGGATTTCGACAACATCAGCGAGAGCGATGACAACAGGGAACCTTACACCGACGTTTACCACAACAACCCACAGGGCCTTGGCCTAAAACAGAGCACTGTTGACTTCAGAAGCACGCCGGTACCAGATGAAGGGATGCCGCGACCCTCGGTCCCTGTTGGTGAGGTGTGGACCGACCCAGAGTTTCCACTGGACGTTGCAATAACTGACGATTCCAGGATGGACGTGGAATGGAAGAGACCGCAGGTGAGACGTAACTAGGAGTGAGTGAGTGTAGTATTACGCCTCTTTTAGCAATATTCCAGCAATATCAGTGCGGGGGACACCAGAAATGGACCTCACACATTGTGCCTATGAGGGGAATCGAACCCGGTTCTTCGGCGTGACGAGCGAACGCTTTAACCACTAGGTTACCCCACCTCCCCTCGTAACTAGGATGCAATTATAAAAGTTCCCAAATCCATGCCATGCATATAGAACGTCAGTGCCAAAACAATACCCACTCTTGACTATCCTCCGAAACACATTCCGCTTGATGTAAAGGAAACAATAGCTGTGAAAATGATATAAATGGATCACTGAAAATCAGTGATGACACCGGGTGTTCGCGACTAGGATAAGCATGTCCTGCCATTCACAAATTGGCCTAAAAAGGGAAATATATACTACCCATTTAGTTAAGACTCACAAGTGTAAATGTAGCCACTTACTTCAGGCAACTGTTCTAAACTAGATTTGCAAAATATTCCATACTGTTTAAAGGTACTGCTTACACATGAACTGATGTATTGTAAAAAAAATTCGAAAGGTTGGAAAAAATTATTGTCATGAGTTCAATATATGATGAAACTCTGAGAAAATTGGCGAATTCTTAAAGGTCACATGCAACCAAAAAATCAAACATAATTAAAACACAATTATCACTTCTTCATGACATATAATATGCATTGCTGATTATGAAAAAACAAATAAACAAAATTATAAGCGTATAATCCCAAATCAAAAGTGCAATATTTTGTACTTGGGTTTACCTCCCTCGAAACGAAGCAGCCGGGATACCGAACCCCGTCAGAGCGGGTGGGTGTGCACTCAAGTGTAACGGCAGGTTCATTTGCAGATGCCGCTCTCATGCACGGCTCATTGTGTGTGTATATAAAGAGATGTTGAGTTTTGTAAATACATGCTCATTTTTTTGTGTATAACATTTTGCAATCAACAGACATCATAACATGTCATGTGTTCAAGTATCACACCTGCCTGTCTGTGTAATTACATAATGTGACAGAGACCGAACTCGGGCCATAAATCAATGCATTTTGTTTATGGTGTATAGCATGATTGGTGTTAAGTTCAAATTGCATGTGGTCAGTGATGGCAGTTGTGTATTGAATATTGTCATTAGCAGACAGGCAGGCAGACACACAGGTGTCAATAAAACAAGACATTGAGTTTTGTCTGTGACAACGATATATCTATATCACAGTTAGAAATTGTGTCAACGCTAAATAATGACATTGCTTTTAAGTATCGAACTGAGAAAGTGACTCGGTAAGAAGAACGTGTGGTGAAATAGACAAATGAAATTATATAAACAGTTTATTTACTGTCATAACATATAAAAAGCTCGCGCCTGTGAGATATCAACAAAACATTAGAAAAATAGCCAAGCCTTCACCGAGTATTCACCCGACAACCCGCTTCCAAGCTGCGCGAACCTATTTACTTGCGCACGTGCTATGAGCGCAGCCCAGCTGTTGAAACCCGTATTCCCCAGAAAAGTCTGGGGAAAATTAGTGAAACGTTTGAACTCCGATTTCGCGCGGTTTTTTTCATCGCGTTATTTTTCAACTTTATAAGTTGAATTTGCATTTTTGACGATTTGTTTCGCTATGTCCATACCGAAAGGTATCAGAATCTGCAAAGTTGTGTTTTACGTTGCATGTGACCTTTAACAAAACTTTACATCAAATCGCAGCTTTTCACATGCACGCTATTTTCACATGCTTTTCGGCAATTAGATGCATGGTCCTCATGCAATTCATCTGCATAAGGTTTGCAGTAGGTTCCCCTAAGTTAGTGAAGAAATTCATCTTCGATGTAACCATATATATATATATATATATACATAATATAGAGTGAGTCCTTTCAGTGAGTCTAAACTGTTGATGGGTAGTATATTTAGCCTGACGCTGCACAGCAGTATTTCTGCTATACGACAGCGGCCTTTACACAAATCAGACAACCTTATGTTCGACGAACCGGAAAATATATGCCCATTTTTCGATTTCGACTCTAACAGTATAAACAGTATAATGTATCTGTCCTGTCCTACAGGCGTTCACCAGCACACCCATGGTAACATATGGTACAGGTCATAGTAGGCAAGGGCGTCGGAAATCATTTTCATCACTGATGCGTAAATTCATTGAATGTCACCATGTCCTCCATGTATCCCCTTAAGAGGTTTACTGTGCTATAAATGTTGTAATCCTGATCAAAGTACGTTGTATTATTCATAAAGAGAGATTTTTCGATTGTACTCATAAGTTGTGAAACGCTGCTGGATCATTATTTGGAGAAGCAAGTAGCATGAATGCATGTATGAGTGCATTTGGTTAAACGTCGACTACACAGAATGACATTTGAATGCATGGGGTGCCTGTTTGATATGTCCGGAAAGTTCAGTGAGTGAGTGGGTGAGTTTTACGCCGCGTTTAGCTATACTCCAGCAATATGACGGCGGGGGACACCAGAAATGGGAGTCACACATTGTACCTATGTGGGGAATCGAACCCGGGTTTTCTGCGTGACGAGCGAACGCTTTAACCACTAGGCTATCCTAGCGCCTCCCGGAAAGTCCACACACCGGACCATGTGCTACCTTTCATTATTGTAACTGTTTGAAATAGGATTGTTTGTAAATATGTCAGTTCAAAGCCTAGACGATTGTTGTGTGTAAACATGTTACTGACAAGACTAATCATGCATTTGTCACTTACTTACTTACAGGCCTGATCATACAGCTACATACTTGTCTGTACATGGCACATGTTTTCATAAACGTAGGCCTAAATGCATTATGAAGGTCATACCGTTTGATGCTCATTGAACAAGTTTGGTCTAACCTGGGATGAAGTTTCAGAGAAGAACATACGAATTGCAATAATGAAACGTTATTGCATGTCTTTTCCACTTTGTGACTTGAAGAGAGATAAATTAAGTTGATCATAGATTTAGGGAACAGTTTATCGGAAAAATGATAATTATAATGACGTATCTGCTATATGGTTACGCTTGCTGTATCTTTGTACGTAACTGTGTGTAATCCCTAGTCCCCACCTCCACCCTGCAGTCAAACACCCCTCCGATATTACTGCATGTGCACGTTGTAGCTATACATTGCTGTTACTCGTTACGATATGACTGAAATAATGTTGATATGACATTGAATTTCACTCACTCACTCACTCACTCACTCACTCACTCACTCACTCACTCACTCACTCACTCACTCACTCACTCACTCACTCACTCACTCACTCACTCACTCACTCACTCACTCACTCACTCACTCACTCACTCACTCACTCACTCACTCACTCACTCACTCACTCACTCACTCACTCACTCACTCACTCACTCACTCACTCACTCACTCACTCACTCACTCACTCACTCACTCACTCACTCACTCACTCACTCACTCACTCACTCACTCACTCACTCACTCACTCACTCACTCACTCACTCATATTTTTCAGGAAATCGTCCGAGATCCCGTACTGTTTGCTGACGGCCCTTTCAGACTGGACATTGAGCAAAGGTCTTTTGGAACTTGTTGGTTCTTGTCCATGTTATCAAGTCTTGCCGACAACCAAGATCTCTGCAGAAGGGTATGGAACAAATCTGTTTTGTAACCTAACGTAAATTCTAGTGTCATCCTAATAACTTGCATTGATTCATTTGAAACCATCATTGAAGGCTGAGGTGAAAATCAAAATACATAGGTAGACACGGACACGCTTGTATCTATCAATCAATGGAGATTGTACAGTGAAGACCGGTGAAAGACACTGTGTTCAGTAGCTCATCTCATTACTTTGTTTCTAATGACATAAAACCGATGCTATCAAAATATTACTGCAATATAAATGCAATAAAATCTAAACAGGAGCTAAACGCATGACACATGTGTGTTATACCACTTTCCTAACCGATCTAACCACATGATATATGAATGTTATACCACCTTGTTAACTGAAATAGCACGCCAGTGCAAGATACCGGTCTTGATTACAATTTCCGTTTGGTGTAAAGGGAAAAGAGCTGTCACAAATATACGTACATTATATGAATGAATCGCTTAAAAATTATTTATGACACCAGGCCCAATTTCTCGAAACAAACTTAAGTTTTTACTCAAATTTGAGTTTGACAATTTGAAAAAGCCGAATTTTTAACTCAACTGCATTTTTAAAATAAAAAAGCCCAAACGACTTGAGTAATCTATCCACAAAACTCAAATTATCTACTATGTTTGAGTTTAATGTCAATTTCAGTTCATTCTGGGAAATGCATGTTCTCAAATTTGAGTAAAAACTCTAACTTAAGGCAAAACTCAGACTTCAGTTTGTTTCGAGAAATCGGGGCCAGGTGTTTGCAAAAAGTATAAACAGGTTCTGGAATTCCTAAACTGTCATGACGGCCGTTCCAAGATATTGTGTTTTGAAGATTGGTAATATGATTAAAATACGCATAAAGTAAATTAAAATTCATGTATGAAGATAACGGACACGAGCATGTCCATTTGAAAGGTCATCAACGATACCTCCTACATACCAGAGACAGACGGAATCTGTCACTGCAGGTTCTGGCATTTCGGGAAGTGGAGGGACGTCTACATCGACGACTATCTTCCTGTATTTGCCGGTTCAAAACATTTGTATGGCGCGGCATCGGGAACGAACAGAAACGAAATGTGGGTTCCTCTGATGGAAAAGGCTCTCGCAAGGTACATTAATTATTGGTGACATGAGTTGGTGTCATGCTCTGAACTCTGTAATGGGTATACCGAGGCATAAGTGATCCATACAACGTAATGCTCTTATATGTTACAGGAATGTGGCAAATCAGGGAATATTCCTGGTATTTTCAGGGAAAATATGTAAAACCTGCTTCATTCAGGGAATATGCATGATTTCTAAATATTTTTTTGAATTATACCTATCCACTGATTGTAAAACACGTTTCTTAGACATTGTGCATGGCATTGCTTCATCTGTTGTTATTAGACGAACTGTTCACCCCAGTATCGACATAATAATGTTAATTGTTAATTAAAATAAAAAGGTTAAAAAATTAGCTTAGTAGCCTGGTTAATTGCCGCAGGAGCAATTAGTCAAGGCTGTACTCGAAACAATGTTAACACAGATTTGACCTTCTACTTAAATGAGATACCAGTTATTCCCTGTGACAGGTATACATTAATAGTGTTATAAATCAGTTTGGAATTAATTTCGTAAAGAGAAATGGGACGTATTTCAAAGTAAGAATAGTATTCATATTCAATGAAATGTCCAATCCCAAAACCAACAGGTTGAATTGCAGCACTGGCTTTCATTCATTTGACAATATATATTGGTTTTTTTAGATTTCACGGGTCCTACACGTTGATCAGAGGCGGCCTCTCCAGTGATGCTTACCTGTTGTTGACGGGAGGAATATCGGAGAGGATTGACTTTCTGAGAAACAACTCTAGACTTGCTCCTGCCGAACTGTACAGCCGAATCAAGATAGCACTCAGCAACGGGGCTCTGTTGACTTGTGGAGTCTCGGTACGTAATCTGTCGGGATGATATTCTGGGGAAGAGCTTGTCTTCAGTACTCTATGGACCCGTGAAGATCCGGGTTAGAATTGGTAAGAGGCGACAAACGGGATCGGGTGGTCCGGCTCGCTGACTTGGTTGCCTCATGTCATCTTATCCCACTTGCATAGATACTCATGCTGTTGATCAGTGCATGTTCTGGTTCAGACGCGTTTATTTACAGACTGCCGCCATATAGCTGGATTATTGCTGACAAACAACAAACAAACAAAATATACCAACACTTTATGTCTAAGTGGTTCGTCTGTTTAGGCGCTGTGCCTGGGGGGCAGGTTGTATGTCATACTGACAGTTCGGCGTGGGTTATGACATCGTTCTATTGGTCTCACGCTATGCCTTGCAAAAACAATTTGGTAGTTATAGATTTTTTTTTCGAAAAAAAACCCGTTTTCCTGTTTCATCCTTATCATATATGCATCAAAACTGCAATTGTTCAATTTTATCAAGTCCTTTGTCAGAAACTGGCCACAGTGTGGAGTTTCTGGACGTTTGGGTTTCCAGAATTTAATTCAAGTCAAATTTGCAAACGCTGCAAAGCTGCATTTTATATTGTAACACTTCATTTGGGTCTGATATGAACATTGGAAACAGGTTCTGTCAAACAATCCTCTTTTAATATGTCCCAACTATGATGCTATAAGAAACGATTTATTTTATTTTAAACATGGATATAACGTAAATCACGCTCTGCATGTATGGTAACCTAGAATTAGCCAGATCTATAAATCATGATATTATCAAATTAGTACATAACTTTATTACCACTTCAAAAAGATGTAATCAATCTTAAAATTTCATCTGGCCCTTTGCAGAACTAAAAGTATTGTTGCTGTATGGATGTTTATATTCATGTACATTGTATGCTTAATGTTATTTATGACACCATGTACTTTTGTAATAATGTTGCTGATCCAGTTTCTGAACAATATATCAGAAATAAATAATATGTCTATACCGCATTTTCATATTACAAAGAAACACACACCCACAGACACACACACACACTTGCATACATCTTAAATCGTGTCGATACAGACTATAGCCCCTGAACAAAGGCTCACGCTTCAGTGGCTAATGCTCATTACCTGGCACGCATCTCTCACCTAGCCATAGTGCAATGTTGTCTTAACAAGACCTTTTTGGTAAGACTCTGGCTAAGTGAGAGTGAACTAACTTGACACCATTGCAAAGTTAAAATACTTCTGTGTTTATTTCAGAAAGACAATCATGGGCAGCTTGGATTGATGGGACCCCACTCCTACTCCCTAAATGCCGCTTCCGTGGTACGTAGCCTGGACAAAATTATTACTGTTAGCATAATTACGCTGGAGGCTCGAAGTTCAGATTAGCCTACAAATATAACATCCCAAATAACAGACATAGTGATAAAGATGGTGATCAGCTGGCCATAAAATAAGAGCTGAGTGACCCAACCACAACTTGTTCTGTTGGTCACTGATTTATTTGATCCTATTGCTCATGTCTTCAGGTCGTCGTAAGAGGTCGTCAGAATATTGTGACTGTACCGTTCTTTAACAGTCAGCATTCGTTATGGCTCATCGGTGTAACGACCATTACAATTGATTGCCATTACAAATTGATTACAGTTTAAACTAACCAAGTGTTGTTTACTGCGCAGATATAGAGTCACTGATGCACATCAGCATCGGTGTGATTCATATCAGCATGTCCATGTAGATTACTGAGATATTACTGGGCTGAGTGAAAAGCTCAATGTGCTTTAGTTTCATAAATGCGAACAAACTGAATTCTGCCCAAACATGAAGGCGCCAGTTGAATATATGAGTTTGGGAATGAGCTGGAAGTTAATGAGTACATACATTCATTAAAAAGACGTGTTCAACACATGGCTATTCCAATGTTTAAGGTGACGAGGCAAAACGGGGAAAAAGCATATTTGCTGAGAATTCGAAATCCACATGGGACGCACGAATGGGCAGGAAAATGGAACGATCAGTAAGTATAATAATTTTGCTTATGCCATTCTTAAATAACCACAGATATAAAAAGTGAAAGTTACAAACATACAGTTGGGTTTTGAATAAGCTTTAAAAAGGGAGAGACACAGAATTCGCTGAGAGGGAAAAATTAAATACGCTGAATTTTGGTAAACGATCAATGTCAGCACCCTACTTGCTCTTATTGGTTCCACCAGTTTGTTTGTTTGTTTGTTGTTGTTTTGTTTTTAAAAAAAAACATCTACAGGCTGCATCACAATTGTACATGAAACTGCTCTATCGTCAAATTGTTGGAAAACTAATCAACTGACGATTAACAGATCTCCACATTACTTGTTGACAAAAGTAATAAATAATGCAAAGAGTATACTTTTGGATATCTAGGCAACATAGCTCTTACACATATCGCTGACTTCATAAGTTGACTGTGGCATACATGCTGTTCCTGTTTGGTGTTTACAATTCATTGAGATTATGGTGGTGCATTTGGGACAAAATTGAGGGCTGTTAGAACCTCTTCTCTGTCTATTGTGAATGTGTTTAGGCACCAGGTAGCATCTTCCTTACCCAAAGTTTGGCATTTTCCTCTTTATGGTGAATGTTTAGTTGGCATAGGCCCATAATAGTGTCGGTATTACATCGTCCATTTCACAAGGATTTAAGGAGAAGAAAACTTGGCTCTTATTGCATGAGCCAGCCTAAGACCTTCCGTATTTAAGAAGGCGCAGGCCGCAAGCTATTCCTACAAACAGCAAACAACATTGCTTACGATAGCCTGTTAAGTATATAAATTGCCTTAATGATGAGAGAATAATGTTATTAAAACGCAGAACCTACCGAATATAACAGGAGGCATCTATAGTTTGAGAGGGGAAGGGGAATTACCTGAATCAAACAAGTGATAATTTGCCAATCAGTGCTCACTCACTGAACTGGTTGGTGTTCTGGGAGATACCTTTTTGTGGGACTCACAGTAATTGTGTGACTACACTCTTCAAGAAACTATGTTTGACACTCTTTATTGATTAACTCGGTTTTGTTTCCTTAAGACTATTTATATTATGGCACTGTGAGCTAAATTGGTGTTGTTTTCCCAAGAAGCTATTTCTTTGCTTGACACGCAGTTTGATTAACTAGGTTCTATTTCCGAGAACATAATTACATTATGCTGATTACCTTTGATTTGTTTTCGAGAAACTATTTGTACATTTTGAGAAACGTGGTTTTGTTTCAGAGATCCAGAATGGGAAACCCTTAGAGAAGGTGGTGACATAAAGACAAATAGGAACGAGGGAGAATTTTGGATAAACTTAGAAGATTTCCTTGAATATTTCTACCGGGTGACTATTTGTTCGCAACTTCCAGACTTCGACAGGGACGGGCAGCCTGATTCATTAAGTAAGTACAAGATGAGTTGAACATTTAACGAATCATGTGTCAGAGACTTTACTAGTAAAACAAATGTTAAAACATCAAAAGGTATGCGTCAGTCATAATACGTAGCTATCTTTTAGTTAAACGTACAAGTCGTGTTGAGTGTTACTTTTACTTTATAACAATAGCATTAGGAAAATAGTATATAACTTTTGCATTCGTAATTTTAAGCACAGTTGTCTCCCCTAATCGTGCCAGAATCCAATAATCGTAGGTTCGAGTCGTTCTGATTCGTCATGTGTCTAAGCCCTGCGCCACTTTCAAGATGTCTACCACACTCAGTCTGTTCCCAGGGGCAATACAACTACTCTCTCATTTGTTCACAGAATATGTGTTGAATATATTCGGTGAATGGCGTGGAAAGACTGCCGCGGGTCCAGGACGAACTTTGAGGGAACGCCTTCGTAATCCAAGACTATCATTTACAGTTCCTCGGAAAGGTAGGAGAATGCTTGAGCAAAAGGTTTTAAAAAAGTAGCATTATTCTTTTATTCTTTCAATATAATTTTCATTGTCTTCAGTTATCTACCTGTAGGTATATTTTCGACACTACCCTATTTAGATGGAGTTGTCAATATTTCAAGTGACTAATATTATGAGCAAATGACAACGCCGCAGGCGCGCCAAGACACTGAATCACCCGATAAATTTGCAGTCTCGTATGACGAGCATGGACTATAGTATTACCAATCGCAAGCTTGTCGGTTCCAAATATACTTGAAATTGATCTTGAAATATATCCTATGTTTGGCGTCCCCAAAAATAACATAATATACATAATCGCTTTTGTTTCCAGGTTCCAGAGACAAAGAGCATGTGCCTGTGCTGGTACAGCTCATACAGAAGACGGACTTGAGGGAGTATGCTGCCATATCCTGTGATCTGTTCAAGGTAACCGTGAAACCTGTTACTACACGTTACTTCTTTGGCGTTCCAGGATCCGCTCATTGTTGAATACCGCCCTGCTTATGATCAATGGGATTTCCCAGCTCAATACGCGTGCGTGTGGGTTCATTAGGACCAGGTTTACTTTGGGCTTGATTCCACACTAAACAGGCTAAGATGTAACTAAAACACTACCCAAAGATGTCTGCAACACAACTCCGGCGCTAAAAGGGCATAGGTTTATTCGCGTACAAATTCCGTTTGTTGTTTAAATGCGCCTTTGCCTGGGCTATTGATGTGTTCAGTGCCCGCTACAAGTTTCTCTTCTTACAGATGACATATGCTAAAGTATGGTATAAAACCATCTACATGCATTTTGTTGCTACAGACTGCTGATTTTAATCAAATGTCCAGCAATATGTATATGTATTATATTAGATGGGCTATGCTAATGAAGGGTGAGGCACTTGGTACAAACTTTCTCCTCTTACAGATGACCTACGCTAATGAAGGGTCCAGCACTTGCTACATGCTTTCTCCTCTTACGGATGACCTATGCTAATGAAGTTTCCAACACGTAATACAAACTTTCTCCTCTTACAGATGACCTACGCTAATGAAGGGTCCAGCACGTACTAAAAGCTTTCTGCTCTTACAGATGGCCTACGCTAATGAAGGGTCAAGCACTTGCTACATGTTTTCTCCTCTTACGGATGACCTATGCTAATGAAGTTTCCAGCACGTAATACAAACTTTCTCCTCTTACAGATGACCTACGCTAATGAAGGGTCCAGCACTTGCTACATGTTTTTTCCTCTTACAAATGACCTACGCTAATGAAGGGTCCAGCACGTAATAAATGTTTTCTAATCTTACAGATGACCTACGCTAATGAAGGGTCCAGCACTTGCTACATGTTTTCTCCTCTTACGGATGACCTATGCTAATGAAGTTTCCAGCACGTAATACAAACTTTCTCCTCTTACAGATGACCTACGCTAATGAAGGGTCCAGCACTTGCTACCTGTTTTCTCCTCTTACAAATGACCTACGCTAATGAAGGGTCCAGCACGTACTAAATGTTTTCTAATCTTACAGATGACCTACGCTAATGAAGGGTCCAGCACGTACTAAATGTTTTCTTATCTTACAGATGACCTACGCTAATGAAGGGTCCAGCACGTACTACGTGTACCAGATGGAAGACACTGAGTACAGGAACAGCTACTTCCCCAACCTGCAGGCTACATTCCGCTACATGCTCCCACCGGGCCGCTACATAGTGGTCCCTTCCACCTACCAGCGTGGAGTTCACAAGGAGTTCCTCATACGAGTGTTTTCACCTGGCCCATTGCATAAGTGCAGGTAATGCTCTGTCAACAACAGATGCTGGTTCTATTGATTAACACAATACGTTTGCCTCAATGTTTACTCACCCGAGAAATTGTCCACATAATGTTAAGAATATCTTAACTTTCCGATGCAAAATATAATTGCTATTATTTAAAATAATATAATAGTATACATTATATAAGACATGTTATGTGTTTGAGGCAATGACAGAGAAAGTATGGTTTCTACCAGAAATCAAATCCTTAAAAACAGTCAAGGATATTTCTATGTTTGTTTACAGGAGCATACCAAGTGAAGTAACTCTGATACCAAGCCATCAATGGGAATAAATCTACTCATCGACATCACCATCACCATCACCATCACCAACATCAACAACATCACCAACATCAACAACATCATCATCATCAACATCATCATCATCATCAACATCATCGTGTCTAGGATTTTGCATCGCTTGGACAGTATTCACCAAGAAGCATATGACTGTGACTGTTGTCAGCAACTATAAAACTTGGAATACACGGGATAGAACGATACAGTTACTGATTCCGTTGTGTGTGGAAACTGGGTATTTCATATGCCCACGTCCGATCATCGGGTATCAGCTGTTCCACAAGCCACCTTGCAGGGTCTATGGATCATTCCCTCAGAAATGTGTAACAAAGTGTGCTGTAGGACTTGTTGGCATCTTGGACTGACAACTCCTTAAATCTGATATAGCTATCTTCCTTTATTCCTTTTTTTTCCAAATACGTATGAAGAAATCCAGTCTCGAAGGGGCCGACATATTGTTGTGCAAAACCTTTACTTTTTAATAATCTTAAATATGTTTTTGAAATTAGGTTATTAACCATTTAGGAAATATTTATTCGTATATATCTGACATATTAGAATATACAGATTTCGTTATGTTGCCCGCAACTGAATTATTATGTAGTGGTGCCTGCTCAAATATGATGATTCATCACGTCATGTAAGCTATTGACTCAGGTTTCAATATCCTCATCCAAAATAATGAAATAAAGCTTTGCTTTCATATATATTAATTGCTTGATATATATGACTTGTAATAATAGTTGCTTGGTTAAAGCTTCACCATCAGTTGACATGAGGAGATCGGATTTGTTTCCTGTCACTGTCAGTAATACGTTAATGTATTAATAAATTATATAGATATCACAAATAAAATGTTATACAAATTCTTCTTTCAAACATTCACTCTGTCATTTTTATCTTTTCCGAATATGTGCTAGTCTGTATTGTGATTTTTTTAGCCCATCTTTATTTATTTAATTGTTGTTACATCTTGTTTCTTAATTAGGACTCAACCATTAACTTTGTTTCAATATTGTGAAGCCCGCTGTTCTAGCCTTTTGGGTGTTAAGAAGGATGGCAATACTATTCATATGAAAATTTCAGTTTACAGTTTCTTTCAAAAACTTATTAAGACGTTCGCTGTATCACATCATAGTCCTATGTTCATGTTTAGACAACATTCCAACTATAATATTTATGTTGTACCGACTGGCAGTTGACGAATATATTTTGATGTTATATGATGTCAAGCAGCGTTGTAGATCATATATCGTGACAATCACTTGCAGGAGAAAAGTTGGATTCCTGGGCCTAGATTTTCGAAGCTCTCTTAGCGCTAAGATAGTCGTAAGTTAGTGTTAATGTATGGCACTTACGACTATCTTAGCGCTAAGAGAGCTTCGAAAATCTAGGCCCTGGTACCCAGACATCCATGTCATAACTAAGCAAGAATACTGAATACAAAATGATACTGGTCTTAAAACATATCCTTGTCACAAACCGAATGGACACTCGAACGGAGCTGATTATGTGGCACCATGATTTCGCAAGATAATAAAAAATTAATGCACTTTTGATTTTGACAACCAATCTGCTAGTTCTACAACATTCCTGGAATGTTCCTTAGTTGTGTTCTCTGATCAAAATCAAAAGCATCAAGACACTATAAAACATGCATACAATTTCATTCTCTTCTTTGAAAGCGTGGCGTAATGGATTGCAGAATAAGAACATTGTCAATAGTGCTCTGCCCTTTACGGATTCCCCCTTAAGAGCTTTTTTATGTTTACACAAAGTCACAAACACAATGAAAAGTCAATAACTTGTTCAACATTTGTATTTTTAATATACCGAAAATAATAGTTGTAGGAGTGGTTAGACATATTAGTGGTTAAAGTGTTCTCTCTTCGAATTCCCAGGTGGGTACAGGGTGTGAGCTCATTTCTGGTGATATTGGAGTGATATTGCATGAATGGGTCTAAAAGCGGCATTAGGCCATACTCACACTCTGACTCGTTATAGATATTTCTCAGAAAATAATAACTAAGTCAAAATCACCTGTTTTGTGTGTCGCTACAGTCAAATCAATGTATTCATGTTTATGAAACATAAGAACTACCAAACATAAAATGAAACAAAATCTCAATATATAGAACCCAAACGTCTTGCGCATTTTAACATAAACACCATCCGTGATTGTTCTATATGAAACCATGTTATTTACATATTACATGATTTTACATAATGATCCGTGGTTTCGTAGTTTTACGTGCTGAAAGTCACCTTCAAAATGTTCAGATCAAAAACTGTCGCAAAACAACACCGGTTAGTTTTGTTATACCACCTAAACTGAGTAGGTCTTTATGACACGCACTATCCCCCACAGTCGGTAAACACACCATCATTCAAAACAAACTGTGGTGTTTCTTGTGTAAACGCATACAGTCGTATTGTCATACACAAGCGGCCTCAGTCTAGAACATCGGAAAAACTGTTTCATGTTTGTGCCATTGAATTGTGCCTACTGTCGAGTCTCTAAAAGCCTGTTTAAGGCATGGAAGAAGAGTTCAAATACAAATGACCCACATTATTGGGCAGTCAGTTACGCCCACTCTACCTTCACAACACTCATTAAACAGTATGACGGTGTACAGATAGACTGAGACTCTGTGTAAATACTGTCTACAGTGCGACATTGCAGTCGCATAGTCACACAAGGAGACTTCAATATACACAACTTTATTCATATATTGTACACTTCCTGCAGCAACATTAACTGCCTACAGTATTTCAATCGATGAACCTGCATACATGTTATATCGATATTTATATTGTAGCAATGCTGCAGTCTGATTGTCACCAGTTACAAAGCTATCACAATATTAATTACTTCCGACTCTTATATGTTTGGAAGATGTATGTGTTTTCCTATTCGATACGTTTCAAACTCAGGTCTCCGTTATCAGAGATTGTAAGTATGCTATATAAATAACTCCGGCAACACAGCGCTCGGCATTCAATGGTCGGCCATTGAAGACTTAGGTATTCATACAAGGCTATCCTACCGTTGGCTGTAAGGGTCGCGGTTGAGCAATGATCCTGAGAATGTGAAAGGCGTTGGATTGCTCGACCGTAGCAGTGCTGAAGGTAGATGTAATTTTCTTCATAATTATACAGATAGACTGTAACTGAGCTGTAAACATTAAGAAAGTAAGAAAGTTTATGGATAACAACTTCTTTGATTATATAAGTTTGATGTAACGACGTTTCGGTATGGATTCTATGGATACCGTTGTCAAGCAAGAGTGAAGTACTACAGCACAGAACAGACTTATATACATGAACAGGGATTAAGTAATAACAACATGTAGGACTGAATGAGGGGATTAACAATAACAACAAGGCACGGTGGCAATAATGTAGTGACAATAGGAAGCCAATGGTGGTGGAGGTAAAAACAAAATATACATGCTGATGAGATTAATTAACAATGATGGCTGAGGTGCTCTAATCTGTTGTTTTTATGAGATCATTGTATGCAGAAGGGATGAGATATCCCTGGTCTCTGTTGATTGAGGGCTTGTGTCTCCGGATTTGAACTGCTTCTGCAAGTTTCCTTTTGGTGAAGTCCTGGTGGTTTTTGGATAATATCTCCACATTGTCCCAAATTATGTTGTGATTGGGGCAGTTGATGATGTGGTCTGATATTGCTGATTTTCTATCAGATTTAGTGGTAGATGATAAGTGTTCTTTGATTCTAATATTTATGGGCCGGGAGGTTTCGCCTACATAGGCCTCGCCACAGTCACAGTTGATTTTATAGACAACACCTTTGGGTTGATGTTGTCGTTTAGAGGTGTTCCTGCCATTCGCTTTCAGTAGGGTTTTTAGTGGTGTAGAGCTGGTAAAGTAGGTTTCGATGCCTGCTTCTCGCTTGAGGAGACGGATGATGTGGTGAGAGGTTTTCCCTATGAAGCAGTTCAAATCCGGAGACACAAGCCCTCAATCAACAGAGACCAGGGATATCTCATCCCTTCTGCATACAATGATCTCATAAAAACAACAGATTAGAGCACCTCAGCCATCATTGTTAATTAATCTCATCAGCATGTATATTTTGTTTTTTACCTCCACCACCATTGGCTTCCTATTGTCACTACATTATTGCCACCGTGCCTTGTTGTTATTGTTAATCCCCCTCATTCAGTCCTACATGTTGTTATTACTTAATCCCTGTTCATGTATATAAGTCTGTTCTGTGCTGTAGTACTTCACTCTTGCTTGACAACGGTATAAGAATCCATACCGAAACGTCGCATCATATATAATAAAGAAGTTGTTATCCATAAACTTTCTTACTTTCTTATTAGTCACCAACTTCTAAATGCCAATCAAACAGATAAGCCCAATCAAACAAAAGGAGATTGTGCATGTGCGTGTCCATAGGGGATGTGAGTGTGTATGTGTGTGTGTTCATAGCGAAAGCGTGTGTGTGTTCATAAGAGATGTGACTGTGTATGTGTGTGTCCGTAAGAGATGTGAGTCTGTGTTTATGTGTCAATACGAGAAGAGAGTATATGTATATGTGTGTTTCATGTGAGATATGTGAATGTGTATGTCCTGGGGGGAAGGCCATAAGAGATGTGAGTGTGTATGTCCATAAGAATTACGAGTGTGGATGTCCATAAGAGATGCGAGTGTGTATGTCCATAAGAGATGCGAGTGCGTATCTCCATAAGACTTGTGCATGTGTATGTCCATAAGAAATGCGAGCGTGTATGTAATAAGAGATGCGAGTGTATATGTCCATAAGAGATACGAATGTGGATGTCCATAAGAGATACGAATGTGTGTGTCCATAAGAGATGCGAGTGCGTATGTCCACAAGAGATGCGAGTGCGTATGTCCATAACACTTGTGCGTGTGTATGTCAATAAGAAATGCAAGTGCGTATGTCCATAAGAGATACGAGAGTGGATGTCCATAAGAAATGCGAGTGTGGATGTCCATAAGAGATGCGAGTGCGTATGTCCATAAGACTTGTGCGTGTGTATGTCATAAGAAATGCGAGCGCGTATGTCATAAGAGATGTGAGTGTGTATGTCATAAGAGATGCGAGTGTGGATGTCCATAAGAGATGTGAGTGCGTATGTCCACAAGAGATGCGAGTGCGTATGTTCATAAGAGATGCGAGTGCGTATGTCCATAAGACTTGTGCGTGTGTATCTCCATAAGAAATGCGAGCGTGTATGTCATAAGAGATGTGAGTGTGTATGTCATAAGAGATGTGAGTGTGGATGTCCATAAGAGATGCGAGTGCGTATGTCCACAACAGCTGCGAGTGCGTATGTCCATAAGAGATGCGAGTCCGTATGTCCATAACACTTGTGCGTGTGTATGTCCATAAGAAATGCAAGTGCGTATGTCCATAAGAGATACTAGTGTGGATGTCAATAAGAAATGCGAGCGTGGATGTCCATAAGAGATGCGAGTGCGTATGTCCATGAGACTTGTGCGTGTGTATGTCCATAAGAAATGCGAGCGTATATGTCCATAAGAGATACGAATGTGGATGTCAATGAGAAATGCGAGTGTGGATGTCCATAAGAGATGCGAGTGCGTATGTCCACAACAGCTGCGAGTGCGTATGTCCATAAGAGATGCGAGTGCGTATGTCCATAAGACTTGTGCGTGTGTATGTCCATAAGAAATGCGAGCGTGTATGTCATAAGAGATGTGAGTGTGTATGTCATAAGAGATGTGAGTGTGGATGTCCATAAGAGATGCGAGTGCGTATGTCCATAAGACTTGTGCGTGTGTATGTCAATAAGAAATGCAAGTGCGTATGTCCATAAGAGATACGAGTGTGGATGTCCATAAGAAATGCGAGTGTGTATGTCGATAAGACTTGTGCGTGTGTATGTCATAAGAAATGCGAGCGTGTATGTCATAAGAGATGTGAGTGTGTATGTCATAAGAGATGCGAGTGTGTATGTCATAAGAAATGTGAGTCCGTATGTCCACAAGAGATGCGAGTGCGTATGTCCATAAGACTTGTGCGTGTGTATCTCCATAAGAAATGCGAGCGTGTATGTCATAAGAGATGTGTGTGTATGTCATAAGAGATGTGAGTGTGGATGTCCATAAGAGATGCGAGTGCGTATGTCCACAACATTTGTGCGTGTGTATGTTCATAAGAGATACGAGTGTGTATGTCAATAAGAAATGCGAGTGTGGATGTCTATAAGAGATGCGAGTCCGTATGTCCATAAGACTTGTGCGTGCGTATGTCCATAAGAGATACGAGTGTGGATGTCAATAAGAAATGCGAGTGTGGATGTCCATAAGAGATGCGAGTGCGTATGTCCATAAGACTTGTGCGTGTGTATGTCATAAGAAATGCGAGTGTGGATGTCATAAGAGATGTGAGTGTGTTCGTCATAAGAGATGCGAGTGTGGATGTCATAAGAGATGTGAGTGTGCATGTCATAAGAAATGCGAGCGTGTATGTCATAAGAGATGCGAGTGTGGATGTCATAAGAGATGTGAGTGTGTATGTCATAAGAAATGCGAGCGTGTATGTCATAAGAGATGTGAGTGTGGATGTCCATAACAGATGCGAGTGCGTATGTCCACAACAGATGCGAGTGCGTATGTCCATAAGAGATGCGAGTTCGTATGTCCCTAAGACTTGTGCGTGTGTATGTCATAAGAAATGCGAGCGTGTATGTCATAAGAGATGTGCGTGTGTATGTCATAAGAAATGCGAGCGTGTATGTCATAAGAGATGTGAGTGTGTATGTCATAAGAGATGCGAGTGTGGATGTCATAAGAGATGTGAGTGTGTATGTCAATAAGAGATGCGAGCGTGTATGTCATAAGAGATGCGAGCGCGGATGTCATAAAAGATGCGAGTTCGTATGACCATAAGACTTGTGCGTGTGTATGTCCATACGAAATGCGAGTGCGTGTGTCCATAAGAGATGCGAGTGTGGATGTCCATAAGACTTGTGCATGTGTATGTCATAAGAAATGCGAGCGTGTATGTCATAAGAAATGCGAGCGTGTATGTCATAAGAGATGCGAGTGTGGATGTCCATAAGACATGCGAGTGTGTATGCCATAAGAGATACGAGTGTGTATGTCCATAAGAGATGCGAGTGGGTATGTCCATAAGAGATACGAGTGTGTATGTCCATAAGAGATACGAGTGTGTGTGTGTCCATAAGAGATGCAAGTGTGTATGTCCATAAGAGATGCAAGTGTGTATGTCCATAAGAGATGCGAGTATGTATGTCCATAAGAGATGCGAGTGTGTATGTCCATAAGACTTCTGCGTGTGTATGTCATAAGAGATGTGCGTGTGTATGTCATAAGAAATGCGAGCGTGTATGTCATAAGAGATGTGAGTGTTTATGTCATAAGAGATACGAATGTGTATGCCATAAGAGATGTGAGTGTGTATGTCCATAAGAGATGCGAGTGTGGATGTCCATAAGAGATGCGAGTGTGTATGTCCATAAGAGATACGAATGTGGATGTCAATAAGAGATGCGAGTGTGTATGCCATAAGAGATACGAGTGTGTATGTCCATAAGAGATGCGAGTGGGTATGTCCATAAGAGATGCGAGTGTGTGTGTCCATAAGAGATGCGAGTGTGCATGTCCATAAGAGATACGAGTGTGTATGTCATAAGAGATGCGAGTGTGTATGTCCATAAGAGATACGAGTGTGGATGTCCACAAGAGATGCGAGTGTGGATGTCCATAAGAGATGTGAGTGTGTAGGTGGGTGTCCATAGGATATGTGAGTCTGTGTTTATGTGTCCATACGTAAAGAGGGTGTATGTATATTAATAAGTATATGAGATATGTGAGAATGTGTGTGTCCGCAAAAAGCGAGTGAGTGTGTATGTGTGCTGGGGAGCGTGCGTTGTTGCCTCTTTGTGTCCCTAAGACTACAAGAGACGAGTTTGGTTTAGGGGGTATTGGTGTCGTTGAATGGGTAAGGAGAGGTTGAGCAGCTGATCTGATTTATCCTTTGCGTGTCTAAAACACAAAGTCGTGGATTAGTGATCTGTCTTGTCATATGACAAAATCAGATATATAATGAGGGAAACAAATAAGGGAACACCACTTCATCGCAGTGCCCCTCTATTTATTCTCATATTCTCACCCACAGTGCGATACAAAGCTTGTGAAGAAACCTGGAAAAGAATAAAGGAACACTTGTGCTTTCATGTGTTCCCTTATTTGTTCCCCTCAGTATAATTACGTGTGATTTACAGCGATGTAATTACATGTGCATGCGTGCAATAGAATATTACAAAAATGCGCATATTTTAGCCCATGTTTTACATTTAACTAGACACTATATTATTTATGGATTTCAGTATCGCTCTTCAACTATTCACAGTTATTGGAAACACCCTTTTGGATATATATGATATGATGAATGTTTGCACAAGAAAACATAGACGATCTCCTGTCTGTATGGTGGTTTTTTCTTCTGCTTTTATACTAACATGTTCTATTGATAGGTGTACAAGTAGGCTAGCCAAGAACTATTTGTACATGCCACGACTTTCCCGAGCATGGCCTGCAACAAGCATATACTGAATCGGTCGCGCATGGCAGAATTAACATTCTAACTCGTTGTAATGTGTTTTGTTGGTGGTTGTTTATATCGTTTTTACGGCTGTGAAAAGCATTTTATATGAGCAACAGTAGACACAATGGCCGTCCAAACGCTGACTCAAAACCACAGACCGTCTCAGTCACACTGTACAAAGACATTCTCAGTCTGAGCGTTACCCAGGAGACAGCAAGTTCACTCCACCGTCGGGATCTCGTAACCAGGTAGGCGTAGCGAATAACTGTAGACGTGACGGAAACGTTTAGGAAGTGTCCATGTCGTTGACCCCATGAAAGGCCAAGACAGTAAAGATGTCGGCATGTAGAAACAGTTTCGCGTCTTCTTGGTCCTCCAACTTCGAGGTGTCAAGATTTCAAATGGACAAGAATGCCTGTACAGGTCCCGTGGTATCAATATCATTGCTGTGTATGTTTGTGATATGAGAGTTAGTGAGGTGGGTTTCCTGCCATTTTTGACATTTTTCAGTTATGTTATGACATGTGTCTATGACTGTCAGTAATTTTCTGTGATGTCCTCATGACATTTTCAATACTGTGTTTGCTTGTTTAACGCCGCACTAAATCTATATGAGGCGGTCAAGAATTAAGCGTATGTCGACCAGACAATCCAGTGATTGACATCATGAGCACTAATCTACGCAATCAGGATACTATGGCATGTTCAAAACAAGTCAGTAAGTTTGACCACCCGATCCCGTTACTCGTCTCTTACGCCAAGCATGGGTTACTGAAAACCAATTCTAACCCGGATGTTTGCGGACCTTTGTATTATTACTTTGCCTTACACATATCTCTATTGGCAGATATTCAAGAGTTATCTCTATGACTTACGCTTAATGTTTAATTATGGAAGTGAAGCCTGAAGCAATGACATTGAACACTTTGTTGATACCTACAAGTACGGGTAAGCTGTCAACACGGGGTGTCCATCTAATTAGAACTTATTACGATCCTAGCAAACCTAAGGAACGTAACTCCACACATCAAACACGCACTTATTTTATGAGTGTTACCAGTAGACTGACTGACTGAGTTTGGTTTTACGCCGCTTTTAGCAATATTCCAGCAATATCACGGCGGGGGACACCCGAAATGGGCTTCACACATTGTACCCATGTTGGGATTCGAACCCGGGTTTTCGGCGTGACGAGCCAACGCTTAAACCACAAGGCTACCCCACCGCCTCGTTACCAGTAGAGCAGGACATGATTACACTGTTCGCAAACAGCTGGCGCCATGACACATTTACAATGAGCCATCTATATAATTTTCATCACCGTTTTGTAATATACGGTCAATGAAAACTATCCATAATGTAATTTAAGACTTATCATTCTCTAGCGCAGACGTTATATAGTCAGACAACCGGACCAGCGTGTCCCTGCTAGTAAGAGTGTTGTATTAGTCACTTCAATCCTGGGGATTCATCGGGACATTAGTACCCGTGTGTATGGCTCTGTATGACACACAGACAACGATGACTCCGATAGTTATGGCCGTGACGAATGGACAGAGGCTAGCACATGCTGTGCGCGTCTTCTGTAAAATGGAACAAATTATAAAGTATGAGTCATGTTAAAAGCTGTTGCCTGTGACTCATGAACGCCATTATGTAGGATGTCTGCACTGATAATATGATATATAATATAATATGTATCTCGAAGCACGTTGGTGTCATTTTCAAGGACATTGCTGATGTTGCTGATAATACTTCGTTGAGATGCTTATTAAACTTGTCACGTATCTTCTTCTTTGATGATATCACCATGCGCTCACAGTTGTTCCAGGAATATGAAAGGGATATCTGACAAGATGGATGTACTTGTAATACTGGGTCTTTTCATGCATGTATACGTTGAAATATACTGAAACGTAGGTTTTCATCAGGTGCAACGTTCGTGAACCATGGGGTGCTGTTTGTCAAAACGGAACGCTTACCCAGTTGGCGACTACGACCCTTCCAGCGCAGACTACACTGACGCTCCTGATGGCTCTGGTTTGAAACTCTGCACAGTGGACTCTACAATACGTGATGCTCGCAGAACAGAGCGGCCCCGTGTTCAGGAGGGTCAGATGTGGACGGATCCTGACTTTCCTCTTCATGTTGCGATTACAGATAATGCCAGTAAACATCTCCTCTGGATGAGGCCACAGGTGAGTAGCATATACGGTCTAACAAGCTCTTTCATTCGTAACTACTCGTGTCTTCCGTGACCAACAAGAAGACTCGTACCCGTATAGTACGCCATTATTGCCAAGAATCGTTTAAAATGAGGTCAAATAGTTTCTTTGCGTTTAACGATTTTCATTATTATTTCCGGGATTATACAATTATCTTGTTACTGCTAATTGTTAACTTTCGTGTTGCATTGTTAATTAATTGGCGTTTTCTAGGTGTAACCACGTTTGGAAATTCAGAGCTGTCTTTCCTTGGAAATAGTCCCAGACAATTTTTCATCCCCGTGTCCGTTTGCGCTTAGACAAGGCCCAGTCGTGAACATGGCCACGAAAGGGGTCCGAGTCGCCATGCCGCCATCCGCCTTGCCGGAATGACACGAGTAGTTACGAATGCAGCACTTTGTGACGTACTCGATTCTGATTGGAAGACCTGAGGTTTAAATATCATGAACCACCTTTCACCGAAACCGTCTTTTGACGGTTGCTACGAAACCTCAGGAAAGATCTTCCTCAGTCACTTGAAGTTGGCATTTTTACATATAGATAAACATGACGAGAAGAGGGATCGCCACGGTTGCCGTTTGAATTGTTAGTTGAATTTGTTGTTAATCAAACAGTGCAATGGGTACAATATAGTTTTTAAGGGTTATTGCACATTGCAGGTGTTTTTGTAAACACGCTCTTGAACTTGAAAGGATCCTATTTGTGCAGGATAATTGCACGTCTCGCAGCATGAATTCAAAGTTGTTGTGCAAAACAGTCGATGTTGAGATAGTTTCATGGCGGATTGGTGGATTTCAATTTCACGCTTATAAATTCATATATTTTAACAAAAATGCCCTTTATTGTATCTCGATCGTAAAGAGAATTTGAGTTTAAAAGTGTCACCATCGGCATGTGTGTGATTCATCTTCATTCTACTTGTGACACTTCTTGCTCATAGGGGCGGTGGGGTAGCCTTGTGAATAAAGCGTTCGCTCACCACGCCGAAGACCCGGGTTCGATTCCCCACATGGGTACAATGTGTGAAGCCCACTTCTGGTGTCCCTCGCCGTGATATTGCTGTAATATTACTAAAAGCAGCGTAAAACTAAACACACTCACTCTTGCTCACAGTGTCATTGTTCGTTCTTGTCGCTTTACAGGATTATTTCAAATACTTCTTTAATGGTTTAAATATGTTAACAAATTGTCTTCCAATTACAGGAATTTGTCTCTGATCCAGTCTTGTTCTCAAATGGAACCTTCAGACTAGACATTCAGCAGAGGAACTTTGGAACCTGCTGGTTCCTCGCAATGCTGTCAACTCTTGCAGACAAACCGGATCTGTGTAAACAGGTCTGTACAGGATGGATAGATGGTTGGGTGGATGGATGATGATGGTGGGTTTGTCTGATGGGACTGATGGATGGGTGATAGATACGTCAAAGGAACTTTGTATGCATACTGTCAATATCTGCCTTATTTTAGAAAGAGGCGACTAACAGGATCGGGTGGTCAGGCTCGCTGACTTGCTTGACGCATGTCATCGTGTCCCAGTTGCGTAGATCGATGCTCATGCTGTTGATCACTGGGTTGTTTGGCCCAGACTCGATTCTTTACAGACTGCCGTCATATAGCTGTAAGATTGCTGAATGCGGCGTAAAATTATACTCAATCAATCAATCAATCCTGGGTCCCAAGTTACCTCTGCATATCGTTGGTGATGGATCATGTAATAACGCTCGGTGACTTTCCTGGATACTTGTAAAGGTTGTCGTTGGTCGTTACGCTTGGTTTCAGTCACCTGGTATGTGTGTCTCACGGGTTATTCATAGGCTGCCGTGAATCAGAGGCAATAGTCCCGCGGCTTTCAAAACAGTCCCTTACAATTAAAACCATCTCTATAATATTTGTATTTGGTTGAAGCACCACCTCAGTTTCACTGTGCCTATGTAAAAGGAATATAGGTATGATAGAGTTGTTAACATCCGAATACCTCATCCTAAGGGGCAGTAGGGTAGCGCTGTGGTTAAAGCGTTCGCTCTTCACGTCAAAGACTCGGATTCGATTCCCCACATGGGTACAATATGTGAAGTCCATTTCTGGTGTCCCCTGCCTGATATTGCTGGAATATTGCTAAAAACCAAAGCGACGTAAAACCATACTCGCTCACTCACTTCACCCTAAACTTTTTCATCTTCCGGTGTGAGCAAATTCAAAATGGCCGCTACATGTAGATTCTAACACGATGATTTTGTTGGTTGGTTTGTTGTTTAGCGCCGCACCCAGAAGTATATATAGATAATAATTCCATGATCAACAACATGAGCATTGATCTACATAATTGGGATACACGATGTATTACGTTGGTTTACTCAATATTTCCAGGTGATCAACGAGAGATCCTACACCCCAAGGACGGACGGCATCTGTCACTGTCGACTATGGAGGTTCGGGGAGTGGGAAGATGTGTATATTGACGATCATCTCCCCGTATTTCCTGACGGCAGAACCATGTACGGAGCAGCATCCGCGACGGCAAGGAACGAGATGTGGGTCCCTTTCATGGAAAAGGCTCTGGCAAGGTACTTAAGTTCGTTTGTTTGCTTTTTAAGGCCACATCCAGCAATCAGCAATATCCCAGATTGAATCTGGGCCAAACAATCAAGTGATCAACAGCATGACCATCGATCTACGCAAATAGGATACGATGCCATTAGTCAACCAAGTCAGCGAGTCTGACCACCCGATCCCATTAGTCGCCTCTCACGACAAGCATGAATTTCTGAAGACCAATTCTAATCCGGATCTTTACGGGTCCTGTTACTGTTAATTTATTTCTTATATTGAAGCTTAATGGATATCCTGTGATTAGATTGGTATTTTTGCTGATGGCTCGATCCGTTCTTTTTCCAACCAACTTCGAACAGTGGTGTTTACAGAATTTAAGATTCACCTTTTGACGTTTACACGATTTTTGACCTGATGGACTAAGCGGGAATCACCCAGTGGACCGATCGTGAGAAATAATCAACAACATAGTTACCTCAACACAGGAACACACAATATTGTAGGAAAGCACGCGGAGTCTCAGACAGTAGGCTTATAGTAGGCATGACCTATTTGTTTCTTGGAATTGGTAACATAAATGCTTAAAGGATTTCTTGGTTAACCCAAAAATGCTTTTGAGTGAGTGAGTGAGTGAGTTTAGTTTTACGCCGCACTCAGCAATATTCCAGCTATATGGCGGCGCTTTTGAACTTAAACAGTTCAATTAATTAGATAATTGAAATAATCCATTTTCAATTTTTCAACTCATTGTGTTAATAAAACATTGTTATCAACTTGATTTAATCTGCGTTTGTTTTAGGTTACACGGTTCGTACACCGTGGTGGAAGGCGGGTACACGAGTGATGCCTATCTGATGCTGACAGGGGGTGTTGCTGAGAAGATCGACTTCTACAATACGCGATCCCGGGCTGCAGCTTACAACATATTCAGCCGAATCAGCAACGCCCTCAACACGGAGGCCCTGGTTACGTGTAGTGTATCGGTAAGTATTGAGTCAGTGAGTGTGGTTACGGTTTTACGCCCTTTTGGAAAATATCACCAGAAATCGGCTTCACTTATATTACTCATTATGGGCTGGGGTGCAATCGAACACGGACGTTCGACGCGACGAGCGACTGCTGTACCACAGTGCTACCACAAAAGGTCAGGGAGTTTGGAGCCGATTTCAGGAGTGCTTCGGACGCCAAATATCACGACGTGCTTTGTACTGGAAAGCGACAAGCCAGCAATGACAAGGGTCCTGAAATCCAGGAGCAATAATCAGAATCATGCGAGTGCTTCGAAACCAAGAACATCGGATCCTGACGCTACCAACTGACGTGGCGGTGGGGTAGCCTAGTGGTTAAAGCTTTCGCTTGTCACGCCGAAGATCTGGGTTCGATTCCCCACCTGGGTACAAAATGTGAAGCCCATTTCTGGTGTTCCCCGCCGTAATATTGTTGGAATATTGCTAAAAGCACCGTAAAACTAAACGCACTCACTCTCCAATTGACACGACATGAACGACTGGGCTCCACGGCTCCATATCCCAGTTTTAATCTCACTCTCAAATATGTAATAACTAACTGTAGAAAGTGTCGCGTAAATTTCCAAAGACTTATGTATGCGCAAATCATTTTCGTGATTGTAACAGATGGCATTGACAATTTCAGATAACGTTGCTCATTAAAGATAAAGCCTCAATATTGACACCAGGTGTCTAGGTAAGCCAAGGGAAGCAATACGTCAGTTTGTAACCATTAAACCCTGTTGTTTTCAGTCACGATACCACGGTAAAATGGGTCTGATGGGACCACACGCCTACTCGATCAGTGGAACGTTCGTGGTAAGATTTCTTGAGACTCATCAAACTTCATCAGTGTTGTTAGTGAATGAATATTATGTTACGCCGCTGCCAGCAATATTGCAGAGCTATCATTTAAAGAAACCAAAGAAGGATTTAAAGCAAACATCAAGAACAATAATTCAATGATCCAGAGCCAGCATTTATAAAATTTACTCGTAACTACCAGAGAGAAGTTGACGTGTATCGTAAATTGTAACTATGTAATGTGAATAACGAATCGCTTGCTGTTGGATTTGGTGCTATATGACATCTTCTGCTTTTGAATAAGAATGTGATGAATATATATATATATATATATATAGGTGTATATATATATATATGTGTGTGTGTGTGTGTGTGTGTGTGTGTGTGTGTGTGTGTGTGTGTGTGTGTTTAAACTGGAGCTTATCTACACTTTGTACTTGAAATGTTCATGAACGCAGACTTGTTCTTGCCACTATATGGCTGAAATAATGCCGATGTGACGTAAAGCCCAACTCAACTCAACTCGTATCTAAAAAGAATCGTTTTCTTTGGTTTGGTTGGATTGGTTGTTGTGCAACGCCACACTCAGCAAAAATCAAGTTATATGGTGGCGGTCAGAAACTAATCGATGACGACCAGACGATCCAGTGATCAACAGCATGTGCATCGATTATGCAATGGCGATGCGATGACATGTGTCAACCAAGTCTGCGAACCTGACGACCCGATCATCTTGTACGACACAGATTCAGGTGAAAATGAGGAAAGTCTCAGGGCTCCTTTCCCTTATATTCTATTTTTGTTATTATGAACAGTTTTTTTTTCTGTAAAATACAGTGAAACCTGTCTAAACCGGCACCCCACGGGACCGAATTAAAATGCCGGTTTAGACATGGTGCCGGATTAGATTATATGTTCATTTCAGAGACTAGTTGTTAGTCTAGGGTTGCCGAAGACTATTCTTACCTGGATCTTCACGGGCAGAATTGTCGTAGTGTTTTCACTGCAATCACAGAATCTGACGACACCGTCTTTTCTGGTATGCTCTTTAGGGAATGATGTCAGTCGTCTAATGTATAGTTTCTTTGAAATGTTCAGGATCATGTTGTTGTGTGACCATGATGTATGTTTGTGTGATGAAGGTGACAAGGCGTGACGGCGTCAAGGTGCCCCTTCTGAGGATACGTAACCCCCACGGTAGACACGAGTGGACAGGGAGATGGTGTGACGGGTGAGTGATGTGTTTAACCTGCTGTTTTTATAGCATTAACGAACATATATGAATGTGAAACGAGAATGCTGCTCTGATATTTGATGCGTTGCGTCCATTACAAGGCAATGTATGTCGACCTCCGTTAGAGTGAAGATATGCCAGGGAAACAGTGTTGGGAGAATCCGTTTGGTGTAATGCCCCTTTGATCAGTATTTCAGCCATAACTCACGGGTATTAATTCTTGGGAGTGAATTTAGGTTTATGCCGCTTTTAGTAATATTCCAGCAATATCACGGTGGGGGACACCAAAAATGGGCTTCACACATTGTAACCATGTGCGGAATCGAACTCTACAGCGAGACGAGCAAACGCTTTAACCACTAGGCTACCCCACCGCTAGTCTTAATGGTTGGTGAGCTTGCGAAAACGGGTATGGTCCTGGGAAGCTAAGTAAATAAAAAATACTAAAAATAGCCAAAATACCTACAAATTTAACCAATGTCATACGTCTCTGACTAACAAGCATCACAGATGTCTGTCTAGTTTAAGGGACGCAACTCGTGTCGCCTCAAGCACACGACAGTGAAGTGAGGAGTTATCACAGACTAATACCGATCAAGTGACTTTATGTTAAAGAATGCATGGTATTTAAAAGTAGGATACATATCTCATTACAAGTATAGACGATCACCAAATATTTAGATATTACAGTGTGTGGAATTTCGGTGTAGAAAAAGTGCGCGAATCTGAGTCGTGTTTCTTCCATTCAAGAACTGTAGGCATTAAGCCCCTGGTACGTATTCACTTTTGGAGTTCAAGAATTCAAGCAGTAGTATTATATTTTCCATTTTCAGCAGAGGGTACGATTTAGTTGGTGGTGATAACGGCCCTGTTAATTTATGCATGGATGAACATCTAAATCATGTACGATTTAAATGGCAAAGACATATTTATAAAAAAATAATAGGATGACTACGCCTAAGGAAAAAGACAGTATTACACATTTTCAGTTTTTTTTATATTGCATGAATTACAGACAACACCCTTCTTGTGGAACTCACCTTTGTGAATCAGGAGTAAATTTAACTAGTAACGTCTCGTATATCCACAAGCGTCAGTAAAATCGTTAGAGTCAGAACGAACAGAATTTGATTTCAGCCGACTTTCCATTTAGATTCTGATGCCGTTTTGAGAAAGAATGGTCACGGTTTGACTGAGGCGTATGCATTTGCGGAAATCAACTAAATATGTGATAAGTTCCCCAACTTTCCGTGTTATCGTCACTTCTTGTCAGTTAAAAGCTATATATGGTAACTGTGAATGCATTGAACTAGTTCCACCTTATTGAAGATGTATTTCCATGGTTACACGGTGTTGTAGGAGTGGCGAGTGGGACACTCTGGCGGAGGGGTCTCACATCCACAGGAACAGGAACGAGGGAGAGTTCTGGATTGATGTCGGCGACTTCCTCAGATATTTCAAAAATGTCACAATCTGCTCTCTCACCCCCGACTTTGACAAAGATGGGCGATCGGACTCACTGAGTAGGTACCTCTGTCACTTTTCATATTGCCAGTACAATCTGACAAACCGGTGACTGATATCATGAGCATTGCCCCACGCATTCGGGACACAACACGGAATCCACTAAGTATCTGCTTACAATCAGAGTAGTTGAGGCCAGTCCCGAATTCTCCATTACAAATATAACTTAAATAAACTTTCTTTCTGAAAATGGCCACAATCTCAACACGGAATCATTTAAGTCGATGAGTAGAACCACGGTCATCCAGTTGGTCCAGTTGCCCATTTTCGACCAGAGTTGTTAACTCGGCACCAATTCTCTCTCGGAATTCCCACCGAACATTTACCTGAAAATATTATGCAAATCATATAGAAATGTCTACAGTATCGGAAGGGAGATTTGAATATAGGAAACAGAATTATTGGACAGTCCGTTTTTCATGCGATAATTTAAAGTGTGTTTATTATTTGACCGAATGCTGAAATTTCGTATGACCTTTACTCACTTATTTTGTTTCAAAACGAAATGAAGTTGTTAGTGTTAATTTGTATCTTGCTCTGTAGTTCTCAGTTAGATTAAGCACACAATCCTCAAATGAGAAAGAGAAAATCAAGGACGAATATAAATATTTCTCTTGTATCGTTCCATGATTGTGCTACGTTTCTACACAGTTTAAGTATGTATGATATTTCATGTCAAAGATTGTCCGAAAAGAAAATAGTTTTAAAAAACAATAAAACTAAATTGTTGACTTTTGGAAGTGATTGTAATACATTTGACACTGAAACGTATTCGGAAAACATCTTGAAATTGATTATGTGTATAGCATTGTCTGAAGCAGAGGGGCAATTTGTCTCTTAACATGACGGAGCTCTTACTATACAAACTATTATTAAGACTGCATATTGACTGAAGGTATGTCCCTTGCAGTCACCATGTCAATTCTTCGACAGGTGGTTTGAGTTAACAGTATAGGTCCGTCTCCTATTCTCGCGGGTTTCCTATTCTCGCGGTAAATACGTTTTCTGCCGAAATCGCCGATGCGTGACACTCTTAGCGGTTGTTTACATCACCGACTGGTAACTAGGAAGTGGACCAAGTCGGTGAATAATCAAAATCTTGCAGTGTCACGAATATTTGGGAGTTTATACCAACTTGGACATATCATTACTTTTTCCCGCCCTTTCCGGAAGGATGACTCTTACATACACTCAATAACGTTAATTCCTCGTAATACCGCGAGAATAGGAGAAGCCTCATTTCGTCAATGGCGGATGGCATTGTTTATCACCGGGCTCACGAGTGGTAATTCACCTGATGGATCTAGCAGCTGATAGATGTAGATGATAGAGGAGAAGGCCCTTCATTTAAAAAACAACAAGCATTCATACGATAAGAATTGTTTATGTTATTTTTTCAGCCGATATCCGTAAGTACCGCGAGAATAGGAAACGCCTTCCTACTACATGTTATATTTTGAATGTCTGTATTTTGAAGATTACGTACTGAGGGTATTCAGCGAGTGGCGGGGGAAATCCGCTGTTGGTCCTGGCACCTGGCTGAGGCAGAAACTCCGGAACCCCAGGGTTGCCTTCACAGTCCCCAAGACAGGTGTGTGATTTAAACGCAGTGTCCAATACGATTGCTTTTGTCTAGTGCAACACTATCAATATTACAGCAACATAAAGCATGTCTGTATCTAATCGAATCTGGACCAGAAAAATCAGGGGTTGATATTATGAACAATAGATCATCCGACCGAGCGAGTTGCCTCCCACAACAAGCCTTGGTTGTTAAATTGGAATCTTTAGTACCTTTGCTTCCTGCATGGGCGGATTTACATCATCACTTCAGCCGTTGGCGATTGTGCTATTTATCTATTTCAGAAAGTATTTTTTCAAAACTTTTCAAACAATTCAATTTCATAGTCAGTAATTAAATGACAACTAATATCCCACCTTATGGAGGTACACAGTAGGCCCAGTGTTTGCCTTTGTAGCGTTTGATGGTTACCATGTTCTTGGGTTCGAATCCAGTTGGTTGTTGTTTCTGCTCCAGGTGTTCCGTAGGTATTTCTTCCAAACATGGCTGCCATGGCATGACGTATCTCACTACATGGTAAATGGTAGGGCTATGGTATCGAACTATCGATGGATTGCAATTGTTGAGTCTCCGATAGCACTTAATCGATGGTAAAAACGAAACTTATCGATGCATCGATAGTATGTGTGACTATCGATGGTTTAATAATTGACTTCCGTTGATGAATGTGCACCGCAATACAGGAATACCAAATTCGTTCACTTAGAGACTTGCACTTCATTGAGTTTATGTTTTAACTGTTTACTTGATCTGGGTTTCAAGTTTCTTGTCGGTTATTAAAAGAGACTGAAACTATTTCAACTTGTTTGTATTTCATGTAAATTATGCATTCATTCATGAAATGACTTCAAATGATACAATTCAAGGAGTATGTTGCAATAGATTATCGCCATCGCAATAGTTGTTTCCCCCTCAATAGTCACCTCTAGTCCGTTAATCCTTTTTCATTAGTTTGTGAAGAGTTATCCCCCTTTGTTTACTTGCTAGCAGACGACATTTTCAGTGATCCTCAGTATGGATGATTTAGAGAAGAGGAAGTTGATTTTAGAGTATTATAACAAGGACATCAGATCAGCTAAAGTGATTTCAAGTAGAACAGGCATCCCTTTGTCCACTGTTTATCGTGTTTTGAAAAATATTGCAAATGGATATGGCATTCAGCACCGGGGAGGCGCAGGTAGGCCCAGAAAATTGATTGTCGGTGACAGGAGGCGGCTTGGTATTCTTGTTTCTAAAAACAAACCAAGGAGTTTAGAAAACTTAAGGCTGGATATGATTGATAGAGGAACTGTGGCTGTCTGTAAGGAGACAATTAGAACTGAGCTGCATGCAATGGGTTTTTAGAAAAGTCGAGGAATTCCATCACCGATCATGAAACTTGAACGAAAGGAGCGAAGGTTGAACTGGTGCTTACAGCATAGAAATATTAACTGGGACAATGTGATTTTCTCAGATGAAAGTTCTGTGTAGCTGTTTACTAATACATTGAAATTCTGGACCAAACAAACTGAAAAACCTTTGTATCAGCGCCCAAAGGACAGTCCGAAATTTAACGTGTGGGGTGGCATATCTGTGTTAGGAGCAACGCCCCTCTGTGTATTTGAAGGGAATATGAACAGTGAGCGGTACACAGATATTCTCGAGGGACATTTTCTTTCATCTGCTCACGTGTTCTATAGAAATTTTTGGATTTTCCAGCAGGACAACGACCCAAAACATCGTTCAAAGCATTCACAGGCCTGGTTTCGGATCCAAAATATGACACTATTAGATTGGCCAAGCTATAGCCCTGACCTAAATCCAATAGAAAATGTTTGGGGACTTATGAAGGAAAGTGACAATAACAAAAATCTGACAAATATTGCTGAAATGAAAGAAGAAGTGGTCCGATATTGGGACAGCATGGACCACGACTTTCTAACTTCTTTGATCAGTAGTATGCCCCACCGCATTGAAGCCTGCATTGCTGCCCATGGTGACTTGACAAAATACTAACTGTTCACCTGTCTTTGAATCTGGAGTTATGTTCTGCTAATATTCACATTTAATACGTGAGTAATGAGTGAAAAAATAACAAAAATTACAATCTTTAAATTCTCAATAATTTCTGGTTGTACTGTATCTATATCTCCTGTTGTTGTTTATCAGGTGAAGACTTCACACCAGTCGTGGTACAGCTGATTCAGAAGGCGGAGTTTCTCGACTATGCTGCCATACGGTGTGACATGTTCAGAGTAAGTAAGGAAAGTAAACTGTGCCTTAAAACAAGTGCGTAAATCTGGTAGGAACGTCCACGTGATCGTCTGCAGTCAAATATTTTACCATTAAGTCTGGGGGTGTTAAACATCAACATACGTTTGCTTTGCATTGTTGCTATACCATGAAGATTACTGGAAATAGGGAGGGTATTGCTTGAAATTAAAATTAAGAGTTCTGTGATGTACTCCAATCTGCAGATACTCCGTTAGAGGGATGATCTGCCACGGAAACAGTGTTGGGAAAATCGGTTTGGTATAACGCCCCTTTTATGTTGGGTTAACTTTGGAGGAACCGTGCTGGTTTTAATGTTTGGGAGTGAGTGAGTTTAGGTTTTCGCCGCTTTTAGCAATATTCCAGCAATACATGGTGGGGGACACCAGAAATGGGTTTCACACATTGTACCCATGTAGGGAATCGAACCCGGGCCTTCGGCGTGACGACCGAACGCTTAACCACCAGGCTACTCCTCCGCCCCCTGAAGATACTGAAACCTTGTCTTAATTTGCAAAAGGACAGTGTTTTTACACCTTGACAACTGTAATTATGATTGTAATTTTTACTATAAATATAAATAGACTCAGATGCATACATACACATGCATATATATATGCAGTGCAAAGTGCTTATATACGTCGTGCAGCTTGAATATTGTTACTGCGGCGTAAACTGCTATTCACTGACTTACTGGTGCTGTAGGTAGCCAGTGGCGACGAACAGTCCGGAACAATATACGTCGATGACATCCCAGATGCGAATCCCACCAGACTCTACGAGAGCAGTCTGCAGTGGTCATCACGCTACAAGCTAAGTCCTGGACGCTACATCGTCATCCCGTCCACCTACTACAGCGGCGTCGAGAGAGAGTTCCTTATTCGGGTGTACACCCCGTGTCCTTTGTACAACTGCGGGTAATGACATTCATTAACGCTGATATTCACATCTAAGATTATTGAGTGTGTTATTTCATTATATATTGCGATGACCGTTACTTATCTTCCTTCCGGGATAGAATTGGTCTTCAGTAACCCATGCTTGTCGAAAGTGGTGACAAACGGGATCGGGCTCCTTGACTTGGTTAACATATGTCATCGTATCCCAGTCGTATCAATGCTCATGATGTTAATCACTGGGTTGTCTGGCCCGGGCTGGATTATCTGAATACCGCTGCAATGTAGCCGGAATATTGCTGAGTGCAGTGTTAAAAGTGAAACAAACAAACTTATCTTGATAAAGAGTGTAGCATCCCCATCTCCAATTAAATATCTTATGCGGAATTTATCAGTTGAGTTCAAATCAATCAAACTGACATTTGAGTGGAAAACCTATTTTTATTCTCCCTCAAAATAAGTCAATGGCAGACAGAGATATGAAACTGAATGATGTGATGTTTAGTGAGCAACTCCAAACGTTGATGTCAGATACAGTTCGGGAAGGTTCTCACGAGAACAGTCTGTGATGTTTAGTGAGCAACTCTAAACGTTGATGTCGGATACAGTTCGGGAAGGTTCTCACGAGAACAGTCTTCCAGTGATTTTATAATAAATAACTTCATGGTCGTTGTAATTTCAAATTATGTGTTTATATTAGATTTCGGTAAAATGTGGCATTAATGTATAATTAGTACTGTTTGCAGTACTTGAAGATGTATATAGTATTCGCGTGAACTATTCGGGGAACACATGAAACAAATATAAATTACTTGTAAGATGTCAGGGTCCGATATGTTTCCTGGTTGCGTTTGGATGTCTAACTTAGCATTGACTAAACACTAACTTTTTCAAATACCATTGAAATTCTAGGTCGGCGTTACCGTTTATAATAATTTTATAATACCTGCCTGATAATCAAGAAATTATTGTTAGTTCCACTTGTATGAAATGTTTGTCTCAAGTTAATTCTTCAAACCCAAATTTCGCTGAACTTTTACAAAAATCTAATTGACTCGCTACCATCAGTCTTATATCTGCCATGTACCATAGTGTAAAATTCCATTATTTTCTTATTTTATTTACAGGACGATACCTGGGGAGGTGGCGGTCAAACCAGAAGACATTTGTATGTGTTGAGTAAGAACAGCAGGGGAGGTAACTGTTGAAGAAAAAGACATGTGTTTATGTGGATTCAGTATACCAAGGGAGATAACTGTCAAATTGGAAGACTTCGGTAGGTTGAGTATGACAGGGGAGGTAACTGATGAAGAAGAAAACATATGTTTTCGTGGATTCAGCATACCAAGGGAGATAACTGTCAAATTAGACGACTTCTGTTTGTAGAGTACAGCAGGAGTGGTAAATGGTGAAGAAGAAGACATGTGTTTATGTGGATTCAGCGTACAAATGCAGATAACTGTCAAATTAGAAGACTTTTGTTGGTTGAGTATAAGAGGGGAGGTAACTGATGAAGAAGAAGACATGTGTTTATGTGGATGCAGCATACCAAGCGTGATAACTGTCAAATTAGAAGACTTCTGTTGGTTGAGTATAAGAGGGAAGGTAACTGATGAAGAAGAAGACATGTGTTTATGTGGATGCAGCATACCAAGCGTGATAACTGTCGAATTAGAAGACTTCTGTTAGTTGAGTATAAGAGGGGAGGTAATTGGTGAAGAAGAAGACATGTGTTTATCCATTGTCAACAATGGTCACCTGAAACACACGAAACAGTCTTGAACTTGGGGTCAGATCATGGAAGACTGAAGTCAATACCATATGCAGATTGTGGACAGCAAAAGCATTGCAACAAAGTACAATGTTTGATTTTCCATTTGATCTACCACACATAGCACAGACTGAACAGCCCATTTAAACAGGACACCATATTCTCCTATTTTCCTTCCGGGTCATGGAATGCGGTGGGGTAGCCTAGCAGTTAAAGCGTCCGCTCGTCATGCCAAAGACACGGGTTCGATTCCCCACACGGTGTCCCCTGCCGTGATAGTGCTGGAATGTTGCTAAAAGTGGCATTAAAGCTCACTCACTCACTCACACCGGGTGGTCCGTGGTCTGAGGACAAACCATGACGCTTTCTCCGCCAAATCTGTCCACAAGTAAACTAAGGCAGGGGTCCAGCGGAGGTCAAGGATGTTGAGAGGCAAAGCTGCAGAAAAGAGCCAAAGAAAAACGGAATCACGATGAAAAACCATGAATACAAATTCGTGTACAAGAATGATATTATATTGGCAAAGAGAAAACGGACTCGGTGGAAGAAAAGCAAGGATACAAAATTATTGTTCGAAAATGATATTTTATTTGCACCAGAGAATGTCATTCCCGAGTAGATTTGTTCAGCCGCAAAATGAGCTACTCTGCTTGTGCCCACTGAGTTAACTTCATCATGGCCGCACACGAGATCTCACGCAATGACTAGCGTACACTTTAAAAATATATATGCAATGTACATATTAAAATTACATGTCACGATTATGTGGTTACAATGTGTGGCCTGTTCCTCGAGATATGGAGATTTACCCATTATGCATTAAACTTCTGGTTCACCTAGTACAGACTTCATTATTTACAGAATCATGTAAACCTGTTTGCTTTTTAACGCAGCATACAGGAATATTCAAGTTGTGTGAGGAAGGTCTGTAAATATTCACGACAAAGTTTGACAAACGTATGAGTAATATTATGAGCTCAAGCACTCAAACGGGGACTCAAACGACTAGCAAACGTCTCTAGGGATTTAGCTAAGCCTTTAATGGGGGAGGCGGGAGCTGGCAAAGGAGAGGCATAAAATGTCAGTCGCATATCTAACACATGTTCCTTTGATGGCTTTATGTAACAATATCGTCATACAAACCAGCTGCTGAAATAAAACATAAAACAAGATTCAATGTCAGTTTTTGCTTGTAGTAAGTTCTACAAAGGAAATGTACCTTCCTTGATTTTAACCTTGGTGTCTCAGGTCAAGTATTTTTCGGTTTGTTTCACTAAGGACCCGTGAAGGTCCGGGTTAGAATGAACCTTCAGTAACCCATGCTTGTCGTAAGAGGCGACTAATGGCATCGGGTGGTCAGGCTCGCTGGCTTGGTTGACGAATACCATCAGTTCCCAATTGCGCAGATCTATGATCATGCTGTTGATCACTGGATTGTCTGGTCCAGATTCGATTATTTACAGAACGCCGCCATATAGCTGGCATATTGCTGAGTGCGGCGTAAAACTGAACTCACTCACTCACTGTTTCACTAAGGGTGCAACATTCACACAGATGCAGTTGCTGGATTGGTCATACATGGCAGTCACTTGCTCTCTCATCTCCATGGTTGAACCTTAGAAAGGGGACGAGTGAGTGAGTATGGTTTTACGCTGCTTTAGCAATATTCCAGCAATATTACGACAGGGGACGCCAGAAATGGGCTTCACACATTGTACCCATGTGGGGACTCGAACCCGGGTCTTCGGCCTGACGATCGAACGCTTTAACCACTAGACTACCCCACCGCCCCAGAAACAGGACGAACCATGCCGTAAACACGATTCTTGTACGAGGGCGACTGAACGGATCATATGTTCAGACTCGCTGACTCATTTGGTAACGTGGATCGGTGGTCATAATATCAACCTCAGGATAGCCTTGTCAGCATTCCATTATTTACTCGACACCATCCCCCACCGCTCCCATTAGGTATTGCTTAGTGACAACAAACAGTCTTTAAAAACTGTGACCGTCCGTTCCTTGTAAGACAATATGCTCCCATTAGGTATTGCTGAGTGACAACAAACAGACTTTAAAAACTGTGACCGTCCGTTCCTTGTAAGACAATATGCTCCCATTAGGTATTGCTGAGTGACAACAAACAGTCTTTAAAAACTGTGACCGTCCGTTCCTTGTAAGACAATATGCTCCCATTAGGTATTGCTGTTCCTTGTAAGAGTGACAACAAAAACAGTCTTTAAAAACTGTGACCGTCCGTTCCTTGTAAGACAATATGCTCCCATTAGGTATTGCTGAGTGACGACAAACAGTCTTTAAAAACTGTGACCGTCCGTTCCTTGTAAGACAATATGCTCCCATTAGGTATTGCTGAGTGACGACAAACAGTCTTTAAAAACTGTGACCGTCCGTTCCTTGTAAGATATATTTATATATATATGGGTTTGGGGATCACAGATCGACCTTTATATGGCTGCTTGATTGGTAAGTTAAACCTTTATCTGAATTAGGTAGTAACCAATGGCAATGATAAAAGTCGTTATGAAACTGAAGTGTCCCAGGTGCCTTGCCAATGAAAGGGAGCGCGTGAAGCGCCCATAAAATAGCGCTCATCTCGCATACTGCAGCTTCGAAAGTATTGGGTGTCAAGTAAACGATTCATCATTTAACAGGTATTTTCACTCAGTGAGTTGTGTATTATTCCCTCTGTATCACATTCAAGACACGCCACAACGTTAGTTCAGCGCAGGGGTGCACATCCCCCCTCCCCCTTTTTGTCCTCAAAGTTTGAAACTCTCGTGAAAACGGGTGAAAATGAAGTATATAACCCTTTTCTCAAAAAGCTGTATCCGCCCCTGCACCAACTTTCAAATCATCCCAAAGCCCATTCGGGATTGGCAAAGGCCCCTCCCTCCATTTGGCCCAGTACACTCACTCAGTGGTTGACATCACTTCCGTTTGAGCTCTTGTCAGCTTACTACATTTTGTACAGAATCCATCATCTGTTGTTCAGCGTTGAAGCCTTCATAATTACACGAGAATAGTTGGAATACATGGCCCACGACGTGTCTGATTCAGTAGAAGTTGATATGTATATACATCGCTCTGAAGTGAACATAGCTTACTACAACAAGTACATCAGGCACTGAAACTGAAGTTCCGTAACATGTAATCCACTTCCGCATTATTCCTCACGCTTTCTAGTTGCAGCAAATATAGTGAGTGAGTGAGTTTAGTTTTACGCCGCTTTTAGCAATATTCCAGCAATATCACGGCGGGGGGCACCAGAAATGGACTTCACACATCGTGCCCATGTGGGGAATCGAACCCGGGTCTTCGGCGTGACGAGCGAACGCTGGGGTCGAGTCATCTATAGTTGTGTCCCTGTTTCTTACATAAGTGATCTAACTATAGTCATGGGCAAAAGAAACGATACCAAAATTTACTTTGGTAATTGGACTTCATTCCTTCATTTATACAATGACTCAATGAACTTTATTGCTGCTACTCCAATGAAATGACTGAGCGCATGTTGCCCATACACCTGTTATTAAAATTTACTGTCCTTTTTCACAATGGTAGTTTGTTGTTTTGTAATATCAGTGATTTCGACTTGGTATCGTTTCTTTTGCCCGTTAGTTTACTATTGATCGTATGGACTATCCTCCCTCAGGGTTTAACATTAACTGCGTCATTTCTTAATCTTCTTAATGTATTTTCTGAGAGGATCAGGGATCGCTGATTTGGTTGAAACATGTCATTATTTCCAAATCGTGTAGATTGCTCATGATGTTGATCACTGCATAGTCTGGTCCAAGCTCGATTATTTGCAGACCGCCACCATATCGCTGGAATGTTGTCGAATGCGTCGCTAAACAACAAACAAATCTTAATGTAATTATTTTCAAGTTCATCCCGTCAGTGATAACACAAACACAAAGGTGTCAAAAAAGATCAAAAACTTCATGGTCTTCGATGTTTTAGGTGATAATTTCGAATTTATCTAAGTTGAGATAACAAACTCACCTTACATTTGTTGACAATTTTATGCCATTTTGGTTCACGAATAAGGCATGTGTTCTGTCAACAAATTGCTTAATTAATATGTAATCCAGCAGAAAGATTGGTTACTTGATACCCGATGACGTACACACACCCTCTGTTAAGAGTATGTTCGTACATTAACCCCAGACACCCTTGTGAATCACTACCCAGCATCTTACATCTTATCTCGGGAGAGTGCACTACACCGTCAGATTGATACCTTTCCCACCTGTTAGGAATGTTTTTAGTCCGTGTTGGTGATAGCTCCCCACGTACATCGCGTCATGATTGGGTTCGCTTGCGATAAGGTACTGGAAACTGTGTATATTGGCAAAGAATATGTTTATTGGCGACAAAAATGAAACCTTCCCACGGGCTAAACTTAGCACATTCCGTCAGAGGCATGTCTAACGCATGTTCCACTCGTGGCTTTATATAACAATATCGTCATACATACCAGCTGCTGTAAACAGCATCTTCACACTTTCGTTCAAGAAGAATTGACCTACCCACCTCCTTGTCATCCTGTTGTCATAAAATAGATATAAAATAACAACGACCTAAATGAAATATATACGTATTAAACGAAACTTTTCTAGATATATGACTTCATTTCATCACGTCATGCAACAAACGTGTCGATTTTATTCATGTCCCAACTGCGTAGATCGATGCTCATGATGTTGATCATTGGATCAACCGGTCCAGATTCGATTATTTGCAAACTGCCGTCATATAGCTGGAATATTGCTGAGTGTGGTGTAAAAAAACAAACAAAACAAATTCCCATTGTTTAATTCTTGGGTGGTATCAGTTGGGCAGGACAAGCTTACCCTCTTCGCCAACATCTGGTGCCATTATGGATTTTCAGTGATCCATTGATATGAGAGACTGGTTTATATCTGTCATTGGCGTTATGTATTCGCTCTATGTCGCTATGATCGTGACATTCAGTGATTGACATAAAGTCTAGATAATCCATTTTAAAGTATCAGCGTTTAGCAGAAAGGCAGTGGGGTAGACTAATATTTGCTCTCAGTTAGCTTGTCGTAACATGCA